TTAATGTAAAAATATAAAAGAAATTAAAACACATTTACCGACCTTCATCACAAACTTAAATAAATGTTGAAGTACTATGCAACCAACAGCCTAGATATTTCTTTTCCTTTTAAAATTATAATCATCTTTCCCTTGATGAGCATTTGCTGTAAATGTAACCCTACCAAATAAACAAACTTGAATGTGTACACACTCCACAAATTTTTTTAAATCAACCCCATCAAATAAAAATTTCATCAATCCACAGTTGACAAATTGTGTACTCCCAAAAGAATAAAGTAATTCCATTGCAAGCATTTTGAGAGAAGAGTTAATAGTCAACCTAGGCGAGTTGACTTTGAAACCAAGACTTTTTTCGACATGTATTCAAAAGACATCCATACTGATTTGTGCAACAAAGGAATAGAGTTTAAAAATATTCCTCCATACGCTCCACACTTTGGCGGCTTATGGGAGGCTGGAGTAAAATCTGTAAAGTACCATCTGAGGCATATACTATCTTTAGCGCATCCAACATTTGAGGAGATGACAACTTTGCTGGTCCAAATAGAGGCTATTCTTAATTCACGGCCCTTAACACCTCTATCCACTGTTCCTTCCTTCCTCTCCTGTTTAACACCTGTACATTTCCTCATCCTCAGGTCATTGATACCAAAATCAATTGTCTTCAAAGATATGAAAAAATTTAAAAATTGAAGCAACACTTTTGGCAGCGTTTTTCTTTGGAATACGTATCTCTTCTTCAACAAAAATTAAAATGGAATTCTTCATCAGGTGTTCTGCAACAGGGATCATTAGTCTTGGTCAAAGACAATAACCAACCACCACTGCTTTGGCTTCTCGGCAGAGTCTTGAAGGTTCACCCGGGAAGAGACAACATCAACCGTGTAGCAGACATCTTAACCAAGAAAGGAGTCATCCAGAGGGCTTACAACAACATATGCCACTCCTGGTCTCCGCAGCATCATCTTGAAGTAAAATACTTCAACCCGGGCAGCATGTTACGGCAACACCAAACATCACTTCCGCATCGATCGGGGCCCCCAGAGACACCCATTTTTCTGCCTCGTCACAACTTCAACGGCTCAAGTACAACATCAATAATTGTCAGACATTAAACCATATACGAACGATCTATTTTTCATTGATACATCCACTTCTCTACATTATTTTGAAGACAAAATAGTTTTACTACAAAGACACTGCGCTCCATGGCGCGCTTGCACATAAAGGACGCACTTTTAACAAACTCTAATGTGTTCAAAAGCCACTAAATTCCGCTGAGGAAAACTTTAAAGTTTTAAAGCACGATGTTCACTCCTATGATGACAAATTGATTGAGATTGACTAGGGATGCCGAAAAAATGTCGATATATCGATATTTCTTTAAAAATATCGATATTTTTAGCCGATATATTTTGATCCGATATATCGATATAAAAAATTGAATTTCGAAATCGTATCTAAAACGATTTTTTTATTCAAATTGATTGAAAGCCGTAAAAGATAAAAATAAACGGAAAAAAACTCGGGTCTATTACTAGCATTGTCACGGATACAGAGTTACATTTTGTACTATAATTATGGTATTTATACTACAATTTGATGCTTCGTACTTTATACTATTTATATCTTGGGTACAACATGTTATAGAGGTGTTACAAATCATTAATATTTAACTACATATTATTATATTAATTTATAAATAGCATGCGAAATGTTAATGGCATCAACTAAAGTTACTTTAATTTAATATGTAAAAAAGTTAACAAAAATTTAGTTATAATCAAATCCTCAATAATTAAATGTCACATAATATTATATCAAGTTTTCATAAAAAAATTATTTGACGTCATTAAAATAATTATCCTTTAACCACATAAGTAACTTCTTTAAATTGTCGTTCAGCATTTTCATGTCAATCAAACAACTATTAGGTACTAAATTCTGTTGATCTAGGCCTGTCTTTTAGGTCACACACGGTGGTAGGGCTACGCAGCAGCCTCGGCTGTGGCACGAATGGGCGGGCCCGTCCGGGTAAGTACCACGACCTCACAGAAGACCGACGTGAAGTGGAAGTATGACAAATACTTTCGTGTTTCGTCTGGTGAGTGAGGTGGCCGGAGCCCAATTTTCAAAAGGTTGTCAACGCATCTGTAACCCTCGGGTGTGGCAGATGTCCATAGGTGGCGGTATTCACTTAACATCAGGTGAACCGTCTGCTCGTTTGACAACTTTTCGCATAAAAAAAAACAAGACTCTGCCGGTTTCTTTTTGACCCATCATTAACTTCGTTTTAAACATTTCTTTATGTTATTTTACAAAGTTACATGTTTTTTATTGCTTACTTATTTTTTGATTCGATTCAGGGTTAAAGAAACTGATTTCTACTTACTAAATAAGTTATTTGTTTTTTTCCAATGAAGGTCTGGATAAATAATATACATAGAAATTTAGATCTATAAAAGAAATTTTATTAAAATTAATAAATAAATAATGTTTTATTAAAATTTCTCATTCATTAAAATTAATATGATTTTGGTATAAAAATTATTATAACTTATTATTGAATCAGACTGAACTAAATACATTATTTTTTTAAAATCCAAAATTTGACCGATATATTTTTTTTTTCGATATTTCGAGGCCGATATTGATATTTTTATAAATATCGATATATCGTAATATTTATTTATTTATTTTATTTATTTTAAGACTTCATGCACATAACTCTGTACATAGGCGGACTTAATGCTGACAGCATTTTCTACCAGTCAACCTTAGGGTGGTACCGAGATTTTGAGGTAGGTGCACAAACATATATCGATGTTTTTTTCGACTTTCGGCATCCCTAAGACTGACTAAAGAATAGGCATGGGCAAAAAATATCGTTATATAAAAATATTGATATTTTTCCAAATAAATATCGATATATATCGTCGATATTTTTATTTCCCGATATATCGATATTCGATATTTATTTTCGACTATCGAATTCGTATCGTTTTTTAACGCAACTCTGTTTTGGTGTATTATATGCGTGCACGATAATACTTTTTTTTTTAATAAAGATTATATGGACTGGTAATAAGACCTTTAAGCCAATACAGTGAAAATACTAATTACTAACACTATTAAACCATCAGTGTGAGGCGTGTATGACCCTGAAGTTAATAGTCTTATTCTACCCTAAGTGAGTATCAATAGTATAAACTCTACATATTGGCGTCGTCGAGATATTCCGTAATGGTGCTTTAACCATAATTTGACTTTTGATTTTACGTATAAATTGTATTTGATTGAGTCGATTATAAATAAATATTACTTTTTTCTTCATGTCTATTCTTTTTTAGGAATTTTAAATGGTTCGGAAATATGAATAATTAAAAAAATCAAAAAATATATCGATTTATCGATATTTTTCAGTCGATAATTATCGATAGTTTTTAAAAATGGCGATACGATAAATATCCATATTTTTTTTTTACTTGCCCATCCCTACCAAAGAATAGTTTTTTTATATACTTATCTGAAATAAAATTGACATCTAGGGATGGCGAAAAAATATCAATATAAAATATTCAATATCGAAATCGTTAATACAAAGCCGTTAAGGATGGAAACGGAAAAAGAACTATTGCAAGCCTATGCCTAGTATTGTCGCGGATGCATGGTTGTTTTTATTTATTTTATGTATTATTATATTTTGTACTATAATTGTGTAGTGTGGCCCAAAGAGAATGTAATCACTACGTTTATTGTAATATTTAATTGGTGTGCTGTGTTAGGCTATTATTCGCCATTTAGGCTACTCAGGACGAAAATTGGCGATGAAAAAATCTGAATCTCAATCACGAATCATCAAGTCGACTCACTTCGATTGGCGTCCGAAGCTCGGAATTTTGTGTTCATACTCCGTAAGTGATCCTAAACCTTATAAAAGAAAAGAAATCGGATCCATAGTTTAGTGTGAAGTTGACTGAAACAATCGTCTATTTTTACTGGCCTACTGTTTAAAGCTTCATCTCTTATATTCTTAACTTTACTAGTTTACATCAAGCGTTTCAAGACTGGAGTTCCATGAGCTTAATAGATTACCAAGTACTTCATTTGGCCACGTAGGGATTGTCTCTTACGGCCCGTTGAGTTCCGCGTCTTTGTAGCTTTCGAGTGCATCCTTCATTCGCTAGCAGTAAAAACGCGGTGTACTTTGTATACACGGTGAATAAGAGCACATTTTTTAGAAATTTAAATTGTTTGTAGTGATAATCTATGCATTTAAGATTGAACATTAAAATATGTCGAAACCACGTATGCCGTTTAGCTCAGTGGCTAGAGCGTCAGGCCGCGAATGCCGAAGACGTGGGTGCGATTCCCACAGCGGCGACAATCTTTTCGTACTTTTTCTACATATTTTAATAAGAGCACATTTCTTACATTAACGAATTTACACGCGACATAAGGGGCACATCGATTTTATTAGGGTTCCGTATCCAAAGGATAAAAGGGGACCTGTCCGTTCGTCTGTCACCAGGCTGTATCTTATGAACCGTGATAGTTAGACAGTTGAAATTTTCACAGATGATATAGTGGGGCTCCCGTACAACAGACATGATTTATTTGCTGTACATACATATTATCACTACATAGTATAAAACAAAATCATCCCGCTGTCTGTCTGTCCCTATGTATGCTTAGATCTTTAAAATTACTAAGTTTTTTTTACTAGATAGAGTGTTGCAAGATGAAGGTTTGTATGTATAATACATTAAACCCGTGCGAAACCATGGCGGGTCGCTAGTGTACGTATATATAGTACGGAACCCTTTGCACGAGTCCAACTCGCACTTGCTTATCTTGTTATTTGCATGATTAATTGCCTGGTCGTGGTTATAAATGGAAACTGTCAATTATATTTTATCAAATTAAATTTAACGAGTAGGCTTTACGATTTGTTTTTGCGGTGCTTTAGTTCTGCAGCGGCTGGAGCGGAGGTAGCGATGGTACTGAAAGGAATAGCGGTTTTGCCATATTGCGCGGTAAGTTGACTAATGACTATACAATTCAACCGATTGGAACGAGTTACCGTTTGCTTTCTTTAACCTGCTATAGCTGAGACTAGCTGTGCCCGTGAATTCGTCCGCATGAAATTTAAAATAAATAAAATTTCTAAAATGTAAGTACCCAAGTTACTCTTTATTACATCAGCTTCCTGCCAGTGAAAGTTCCGTAGCCGTTTCAGAGTGTATATAGTCGTAATACAGACTACAGAAAAAAAAATGTATATAGGTATATATATGTATATACGCGTATACATTCAATATGCATTTGGTAAAAAGGGGTGATTTTAATATTACAAACAGACACTCCAATTTTATTTATCTGTAAAGATGGGAACAGCCAGGCAATCTGCCTGATTTGACTCTAAGATTAAGAATCTTCTATATGTTGTGCATTATATATTATTTTTTTATAATACTATATGTTTCTATGTATGTACTTTTCTTGTTATTTTTTTTGTAACACCCCTGCCGCTTTCTTCTTTTAATAGATTTCTCTACCCTGATCGCTGCTTAAGCGATAACGCCTGTTGAACGCATGTTTTTATTTTTTTTTATGTGAAAAGTTGCCAACCTAGCAGACGGTTCACCTGATGGTAAGTGATGTTTTACGCCGGTCGTCTATGAGGTCGTGGTACCTACCCGGACGAGCCCGCCCATTCGTGCAACAGCTGAGGCTGCTGCGTGGCCCTACCACCGAAAGATGTGTATTTTAATTATAAATAATGTATTTCCCTTGGTGTACAATAAAGTATATTTTACTTTTACTTCACTTTAACATATAATGATTTCTTGTGTGCGTTGAACTTGTTCTTTACCTTATCCAAATCGCCTCCAATGCGTTTCACGATATGCGGGAGTGTGAAATTATGATCAACAATCGGATCGGAAGCTGGTGAGTCGGTGGTGCAGTTGCTAAGCCATTCTTCGGCGCTGGGGGCCGGGATCGATTCCCAGGTGGGATAAAGGATCCGGGTGCTTATTCCCATGGTGGGTTGACGTCAGGCCAGTAGTAAATTAAACTCGGCCAATACCATTAACAACACGAGTGGCATGTATTGTCGGAGGCGAAGGTCCCGCCATTTAAAGAAAGGTTAAAGAAAGACAGCTAGGACTCGATTACACATTATACGTGTTACATATCAGTTCCCATAGAAAAGTGCAACTAAGCAGCGTCTTCAGTGTGTCAAGTTTTGCTGAAACCACGTAAACCTTACATATCCAGTCCGCACTGACGTCCATATAAGTGTTGTCAGGCTTTACCCCTTTTTTCCACGACACGCAATATAGCTGACGTCCAAGGAAACGTTGCCAGTCGACATCTTACCGCAATGGAGCACTATTGTTAACACTTCTTTTTATCAAGACAATCGTTCTGTATCCAGCATCGATCAGGATTAGACGTAGGCTACCTATAATTTAGTTGTAGTTTAAATTTTTGTAATAAATAAGTTGAAGCGAATTGTTTTTTAGAATCCTCCGACAGCGACTTCTATAATTCACGTGATGATGGACTGATAAATAAATATACGCAGCTGGCGCTCCTGTCCGGTCTGACAAACGCGAGGAGTGGCGATGTCTCCTCGTTTCAACTGGTGAGCGATTTTGCGTTTTAATTCTTTTATCTTTCGTATGGCCGTGTGGTGTCGGCGTAAGAATAAGCCACCCCTTCTCATCCCGTGGGTGTCGTAAGAGGCGACTAAGGGATAAGCCACAAACATCCGGTGGCCTCCGATAGATGGCGGGATAACCATCCTAGCTCTCCAGACCCAAATATCCAGGCTAATAACGGGCAGCAGCGTTGAAGGTGCGAGGTGTCTGGAAGAACTGCGGTTGCCAACCCGCTCGCCAAGCGTGGCAACTATGGCAAAAAAACCCCTCATGAATGGAAGTCCAAGGTGTACGGCCCCCAGTCCCCGGCGGCCCTGCTATTCCTGGCTACGGTAGCGGTCATGGTAACGGCAGGGCAGGGGGTGCTAAGAATCTCCGGCTAGGATTCGGCTACCAACGACGGCGACTGGACCTGGCAACATACAACGTAAGAACATTGAGGACTGACGAGAAGATAACAGAGCTGGAAGAAGAGGTAAGCAGGCTGCGTTGGGATATAATAGGATTATCTGAAGTCCGAAGACAGGGGGAGGACACGATAATCCTTGAATCCGGCAACCTGTTTTACCACCGGGAGGGCGACCAACTGTCCCAAGGAGGTGTCGGATTTATCGTCCACAAGTCTCTCATTAACAACGTTGTTAAAATCGACGAGGGTTGCGTACCTTATACTCAGAATATCCAAACGGTATTCGCTGAAGGTCATACAGGTCTACGCACCAACGTCGACACATCCCGATGATGAGGTGGAGGCAATGTATGAGGATATATCACGAGCCATACATTCCTCCAAAACTCAGTACATGGTGTTAATGGGAGATTTCAACGCAAAGCTAGGCAAAAGGAAAGACGATGAGCTGAGAGTAGGTAGTTTTGGAATAGGGCAACGGAACCCAAGGGGGCAGCAGCTGGCTGACTTTATGGAGAAAGAGGGACTCTTTATGATGAACTCTTTCTTCAAAAAGCAGCCCCACAGAAAGTGGACCTGGATTAGCCCCGATGGTTCTGTAAAAAACGAGATAGACTTCATTATGACGAACAAACGGCAAATATTCAATGATGTCTCTGTGATCACAAGGGTGAAGACCGGAAGTGATCACCGATTAGTGAGAGGCACATTGAATATTAACATTAGGCTGGAAAGATCTCGTCTGATGAAGTCCACACTCCGACCATCTCGTGCCCATATCCAGAACTCCGAAAGCTTTCAGCTCGAGCTACATAATCGTTTCCAATGCCTAGAAAATTGCAGCACGGTGGACGATATTAATGCAAAGCTCGTGGAAACTGTCCATGCCGCGGGCCTTAAATTTTATAAGGCCCGCCGCAAAAATAGAACCCAAAAACTCTCTGATCACACTCTCAACCTCTTGGGAAAAAGACGAGAGATGCGGTTGCAGTCTCTAACTGACATGTCGGACTACAGGCGGCTTAATAGACAGATCTCCCAATACATGCGGCGAGACTTACGCAACTTCAATACAGGTCGTATTGAGGGAGCTATAGAGCGGAACCTAGGCTCAAAAGTCTTCGCCAGAGATCTGTCTATCGGACAAAGCCAACTGACTAAGTTGAAGACTGACAGCGGCGTTATCATCTCCAGTAGACCAGAGGTTTTGAGTGAGATAGAGAGGTTCTATGGACAGCTGTACACATCGTCGTTGGAGCCACACACATGTGTGAGTAACGACCCAAGAGCAAAGCTTATCCGACACTATTCCGATAATATCCCGGACGTCAGTCTGAGCGAGATTAGAATGGCTCTTGACCATCTTAAGAATGGCAAAGCATCAGGAGAGGACGGAATTACAGCAGAGCTTCTGAAAGCGGGTGGAGAACCGGTACTTGTAGTCCTTCAGAGGCTCTTTAATTCCGTCCTTCAGGGTGGTGCTACACCAGAGGCGTGGAGCAGAAGTGTGGTGGTGGGTGCTGTTCTTCAAGAAAGGCGATAACGCTCTCTTGAAGAACTATAGACCGATATCCCTTCTGAGCCGCGTCTATGTGCTGTTCTCAAGAGTCATCTTGAATCGTCTCGCTTCCAGACTCGACGACTTTCAGCCTCCCGAACAAGCCGGATTCCGAAAAGGCTTCAGTACCATAGACCACATACATACCTTGCGGCAGATTATACAGAAGACCGAAGAGTATAATCTGCCTTTGTGCCTAGCGTATGTGGACTATGAGAAAGCCTTCGATTCTTTCGAAATTTGGGCGGTACTCCAGGCTCTTCAGCGGTGCCAAATTGACTGTCAGTATATCGAAGTGCTGCAGTGTTTGTATAACAAGGCTACGATGTCCGTCCAAGTACAGTCCAGTAGTACAAAACCTATCCAACTGCAGAAGGGTGTAAGACAGGGTGATGTCATATCCCCGAAACTCTTCACCGCTGCGTTGGAAGATGTTTTCAAGCTTCTGGACTGGAAAGGACGAGGTATTAACATCAATGGCGAATACATCACCCACCTCCGATTTGCCGACGATATAGTCATCATGGCAGAATCGCTGGAGGACCTTAGTACTATGCTCAATGACCTCAACAGTGTCTCCCAACGGGTGGGCCTTAAGATGAACATGGACAAGACGAAGATCATGTCTAATGTCCATGTCACGCCAATACCGGTTGTTGTTGGGAGCACTGAGCTCGAAGTTGTTGACGAGTACATTTACCTAGGACAGTTAGTCCGGCTAGGTAAGTCCAACTTCGACGCAGAGGTCAATCGGCGAATCCAACTCGGATGGGCAGCGTTCGGGAAACTACGGCAAATCTTCTCGTCAAATATACCTCAATGTTTGAAGACTAAAGTCTTCAATCAATGTGTGTTGCCAGTGATGACCTACGGAACCGAGACGTGGTCCTTCACTGCTGGCCGTATGAGGAAGCTCAAAGTCGCTCAGCGAGCTATGGAGCGGGCTATGCTCGGTATTTCTCTGCGTGATAGAGTTCGTAACGAAGACATCCGCAGTAGAACTAAGGTGACCGACATAGCTCAGAGGATTAGCAAGCTGAAGTGGCGATGGGCCGGCCATATAGCTCGTAGAACCGATAACCGTTGGGGAAGAAAGGTTCTCGAGTGGCAGCCTCGTACTGGCCATCGCAGTGTGGGACGACCCCCCCCCCCCACTAGATGGAGTGACGACCTGTGCAAATGTGCGGGAAGTCGATGGATGCAGGTGGCTCAGGATCGTACTTCGTGGCAGTCTATGGGGGAGGCCTATGTTCAGCAGTGGACTCAAACAGGCTGAAATGATGATGATGATGATCTTTCGTATGACACATATGCCTATCTCTTTTCATATTTATTTTGGCTCGACTGCTGAAGATGCGTTATGATTTCTATTTAGGACTATTGGGTAGCTGAGTATGTAAAAGTATTATAACAGCCTATACATCTCCCAAGCAAGAGTGCGGGAAGTCGATGGATGCAGGTGGCTCAGGATCGTGCTTCGTGGCAGTCTGTGGGGAGGCCTATGTTCAGCAGTGGCCTCAACTAGGCTGAAATAATGATATATCTGCAGGCGGTTCACCTCATGTTAACTGATTACCGTCCCCCGTGTACGTCTACGATACCTGACGGGTTGCAAATGTGTTGCCAACATTATAAAAGTTGTCACAGTTACCTCCCTTACCAAACGAAATGTATAAAAATAATAAGTATATACCCAATAAAGTGCGATGGAAATAAGGGCTAGAGCCAAGATAGATATTCGTTATTTTAATCATGCTTTCGTATTATTTGCTCTTTTTTGTCGGTTGTGTGTTGTCTGTTTACCGTACATAGGTACCATTAGCTAAGAAGTGTCACATTCACACTCAGAAATCTTAACAGTTCTTCACGTCCCTCTGTAAGAATTCATTATTAATTTTCAGCTCGCTCGATTGTCATTTCCAACCGTCGAAACGGTGAGTAATTTTGAGTGAGTATTACGTTGATTTAAGTTACATTTATTACGCGAGTTCCTCAGGCTGCTAAGTTAGCGTTTTTCGAGTATGATAAGGCGCAGTTTCAAATCAATGCAGCGGCGAATTATTTTGAGACAGTTTTATTACATGGACACATTTTTAAATACACAAATGTGGCTTATCTTTTACATATATACAGCGTGTCGTTACCATCGCGACAATAAATGAACACACGTCTAACGCTACTTGCCAATAATCATAAAAAAATATTAACGTTAAACAAAATCCATAATTAAAAAAAAAATATTTTTCAAACAAACTAATTAAGTAAAAAAGAAACAAAATTTGTAACACCTATACAACTCGCGCCACAGCGTCGTATTACTAGCCTCTCCTTCTAACAGTATGTTTTGTCTCTTTTTAATTCATTCAACCCATTCATATGCTTTGTGACCTTTACAAATGAACTTTACGTTACAGTTTTATAGGTAAGGATGTTCTAATATTCTTTGTTTTATAAAATCTAATAACTCGGTAAATATTGATGTTTAAAGAATGTAAATGTTTAATACAATTTTAAAAAGTTGTCCCATATATGTGAGTTCATTTATTGTCGCGATTGTAAAGACACGCTGTATATAATAGTAACCATTCGTTTTGAATTTCGAAATCTTGTCCTTAATGTTGCCAATTTTAATTCACTAGACGCGGATATATGTCAATGCGCTCACGTGAACACCTAATCCATTTTTTTATGTATAAGTTATTTCTTTACTTAAATTTTCATTCAACGAATTTTTTGTAATACTATCATTAGATACTCTCCTATCTAATTAATTAAATATTAATTTATTAAAAAAAATAACTTTACTCTCAAAGTTGTTTTTATTTAAATTTTTTTTTATTAACGTTTTATTTATTTATTTAAAAAGCACACCAGCAGTACTAATATATACTAAAATTCTAATATATACTAAAATACTAAGATTAGGTGACACAGCATTGTTAAAGAATTTACTAGACTGAACAAAAATGATGAATAACGGTAATAACGGTATTGAACTGTCTTTCATTCTTTTATTTATTTCACAATAACACCTGGAACTTGACAATACATTGCAACCTTTTGATAAAGTGGTCCCCACTTATCTTACACAAAAGACAAAACGCAGAAGTGTATCTCTTCCACTTCCCGCGAGTCTTCTATGAGGTGGTTCTCACCTGGACGTACCTACGCATTCGTTCAACATGCGCGGCCCCACCAGAGTTAATTATTTACACACGATCACCCGCCCGGCCATAACCCACCTAGGCGGAGGTCGGTACATGTGAATCATTTCACAAGTGGTTTTGGTTCCTTTGCGACTGGCCGCATACCCGACGTGAACGCTCCTTGGAACAAACGCCCATTTCCGCAAAGATTAACGCCCGGTTTCTGAAACACCGATCATCGCAGATGTCAACTAATCACCTGTCGAATGGCTTTCCAAATGTCATTTAGTTTGCCAAAAGGATTGTTAAACTCTCTGAGTTGACCAGAATGATCTTCTTAATGATCACAATGATCAATTCAAAGAGTTTGACCATCATTTTGGCAATTCAAATGACATTTGACGGCTGATTAGTTAACATCTACGTTGATCAGTGTTTCAGAAACCGGGCGTGCGCGTCTGTGTGTCACACAAACACTGGAACCGAATCAAGAGCCCGCGGCCCCGAAGCCCGTACTATTACTAGCGGCACCGAACCTTCGATTTATTTTCATACGCGTAATTAAATAACGAGTCATAATAAAATAACTAATCAAAGTCTCTGGTGGCAGACGGAGCGCCGCGAGATACTGGAGACGGCGCACAAAAGGCTGTTCTCGTTCATCGACACCCACATCAAGGACCTGAAGCGGCTGCTCTTCGAGACGGACATGGCCCTCATGTCTATGGTGCTGCTGAAACTCAACAAGAAGATGGACACCTCGGAGGCGAAGATCAAGTCCACGCAGGCGAAGATACCGTTCGGGCTGTACGCGAGTCCGGGTGGGGAGGCTAGTCTTACGTGATCCTCCATTGATAAATGCGGTGGGAATGTTTCAGACCTTGGAGCTTTGGATCCACTTCGATCTCCAGTTCGAAAGATAGAGTTTACTTTTTAGTTATTAAAAATGTAGAGCTATTAAATTTTCGAAAACAAATTATTTTAGAACACCCTTACGTATAAAACTGTAACGTAAAGTTCATTTGTAAAGGTCACAAAGCATATTAATTATTCGAATGAATTTAAAAGAGATAAAACATACTGTTAGAAGGAGACGTTGTGGCAACGAATGACAAAGTCTCTGAATGTACGAACCAGTCAGTTGTAGTTATGTAGGATGTTACAAGTTTTGTTTATTTTTTTTAATTAATTTGTTTGAAAATTATTTTTTTAAAGTATGGATTCTTTTGAATGTTTATATTTTTTTATGATTATTGGCATGTAGCGTAAGAAGTGTGTTCATTTAGCGTCGCGGTTGTAACGCCATGCATGTATTTTTACGGCAAGTGGAATCCCCTCAAAATGTTCGCGGATGAGATCGTTTTAAAAGAGCCTAATGATGGTGATAGGAAGCGTTTTAAAAAGTTTATGGATGTGTGTGAGGCGCATAAGATTCTCAGGAATTGACTCAGGAAGCGCGCTACTCCCTTTGCCTATCTCTTTTGGTACAAAGGCGTAAGCTGTATGTATCTATATCTGTTTGTGTGTGTGTAATCACTTCTGTATTTGGATAATTTTGCTTTATCTTTTCCTTGATAAAATGCCAAGTGTCTGTTTCAGAGTTCAAATGCCTAGGGACGTCCTACTACATCGCGTCGGCGCACAATCAAGACGACGCGCAAATGATACTCTCCAGCGAAAGGAAACCTCACTGCTACACTTTTAGGGGTGATTTTCGTGTAACTCTTACTTTTCGTGTAACTTTCGGTGGTAGAGCCACGCAGCAGCCTCGGCTGTTGCACGAACGGGCTGGCCCGTCCGGGTAAGTACCACGACCGCATAGAAGACCGGCGTAAAGTGGAAGTATGACACATACTTTCGTGTTTCGTCTGGTGAGTGAGGTAGCCGGAGCCCAATTTTCAAAAGGTTGTCAACGCATCTGTAACCGCATACAAAAAAACTCGCAGATTTATATCAGAACAACAGGAATAACGATCAAATCGGAAACGAACAAAATAACTAGAACAACGCACTTGTCACTCTATTTATCAGTAGACTTGTCCGAAGACAGATGACAGTATCTTCATCGCTCGAGAGCTCATGTTAAGTCACATTTTGAAACGCTAAATTGTATAAAAATAATTAGTCAGATATAACTACCAACTTTTTTTTTATGTGAAAAGTTGCCAAACGAGCAGACGGTTCACCTGATGGTAAGTGAATACCGCCGCCCATGGACATGTGCCACACCCGAGGGTTACAGATGCGTTGACAACCTTTTGAAAATTGGGCTCCAGCTACCTCACTCACCAGACGAAACGCGAAAGTATTTGTCATATTTTGTCATATTCCACTTTACGCTGGTCCCCATTGGTACGCTGGGTGCCCATTTGTGCAACAGCTGAGGCTGTTGCGTGGCCCTACCACCGTAAAAAATTACTATAACTAGTAAAAACTAGAACTAGTAAATAAAAAATAAATCTGTCGCTCTGCATGTTACACATATACGCGATACAGTGCTAGTGTATTTGACCAATGAAAGAACTCCCTTTATACAACTCGTTACACGCCTTATCATATAAACATTGCTGCAAGTATGATGAATCAACTAACAAAAAAAAAGGGCCAAGTGCGAGTCGGATACGCGCACGAAGTGTTCCGTACGATTATCTATAAAAGCAGCAAAAAAATCATGTCCGTTGTATATGGGAGACGCACTTAAATAGTTTTAAATTCTGTTTTTTAGTATTTGTTGGTATAGCGGCAACAGAAATACATCATCTGTGAAAATTTCAACGGGCTCACTGTCACGTCTCGTGAAATAAAGCCTGGTGACAGACGGACAGATAGACATACAGGAAGACACACAGGAGTCTTAGTTATAAGGTCCCGTTTTACCCTTTGGGTACGGAACCGTAATAGGCTCTTATCGACCAATGACAATGCGCCATTATCGTCCAATGGGAACACGTCCCCATCGGCCAATGGGAGTGCGCCAAAGGGCTGCTCTAAGCGGTCCGTTATTGGGTCAGGTGCGTTCGCGTTCTCCGGCTTCTACCACCGCCACTCGGAGACCACGTACGTGGGCCCGCACGCCGAACAGTTCCAGGCAAAGGACCCCAGCCAGGGTCTCTACTGCCACTCGGACGACAACTGGAGCGACGCGCAGTGCATATACAAGTATGGATGACTTTGACGCTTTTATTACGCTTCGTGTATAAAACTAAAGTACGAGTGCTGGTGCGTGCGAGTACCTTATTTTCTTCTCCAAGCTCCTTTCTATCTTTAAACCAAAATCCGTCAAAATTGGTTCTGCGATTTGATCGTGAAGATGCAACAGACAGTCAGGTAGAGTGACAGTTACTTTGAGAGACCCTTGTATCTTTATAAATTATAGCCCATATGTTATTCTGATTTTTGATGTAGGTATAAGCTATATTACTGTACAGTTTCATTAAAATCCATTCAGTATTTTTTGGGTGAAAGGGTATAATTATTCACACATACAAACTTTCGCGTTTATAATATAAGGAAGAAAGGATTTATGGTTGTATTATTAAATTCTAATGCCTGTACTTCGGCTAAACGAAGTATTAAGATTGTAGCAAAGACGATTTTCATGCACATAGGATTATTTTAAAGTTGTATAATTATATTTAAATTAGTACACAAAGAAAATTAAAATATGTGTGTCCGCCTTTTTTCGTAAACGATGTTGATGTTAAGTATATTCCGCTGCAAAAAGACTTCTTCAACAGCATCTCCTGTGCCACTGCCAGTACTCTTTGTGTAAAAGAAAATGCAATTGATAACAGCTTAGTAACTTGGATTTATAGGTGAATGTTAAGGTTGCTTGTTGCCTTGGTAACACCGTAAAGTCGGTGCCGCTTTTGAGTGTCCCGCATCGTAAAAAATGACGAGAGTGGTACTTGTCATTTTTCCCAAACGCGCCAAAAGAAGTATGACCCCAAACAAATTAAAGCAAATATCGAAAAGAAAATCTTGTCTATGGTAAGGATTAACCCGCGGGAGGAGTTCCCCGAGTCGGTCGAGTACGAGCCGAAGGTGTCGTACTGGTGTGGCCCCTACCGCTACTTCCTGCCGGCCACTACGGACATCCGATGCATATTTCCATATTCTCCATGAACTTCGTGCTGCGCTTCGGCTACGATGGCGTCACCTACAAGAGCTCGGACCTCTCTTTCGTAAGTGTTGTGTTTATTTATTTATTTATTTAAAAAGGTACACCAACAGTACATGTATACATATTATAAAAGTTACATTTTTAAAGCACAATTCCTTATACATATACCTATTATAGGCATACACAACATTGACAGGAGATATTATATAACAACACAATATTAATCTAAAAAATTGAAAACAATAAAATAATAAAATTCACCAAAGTAAAACTAAAAACTTAACTGAAAACAAATGCCTGCTGTGTTAGTGGGTTGACCCTTTTGGCGGTGGCGAATTCGACAATTTTCGATCGTGCTATTAAATAATCTGTATGCATTTGGCAAACCGTTAGCTTGGATGATACTTGGATTATACTCTAACCTCTCGTTCGTAAATATTTTTGACCGTCGCGCGCTCGTCAATGGATTTTCGATCGCGTAAAGAATCTGAACACAATTGCCAAACCGCTGCTTGGATGATTTTCTCTCTCACTCACCAAACGAAACGAGAACATTAAAAACTTCTGTTTAATATTGGAAGATACCACGGTTGTGTTTTTTTATGGAAAAGGTGGCACCTTTTGGTGGGTGATCACCGCGGCCCATAGACACTTCCAACATCGGAGTTAACTGCGTTGTCAGCCTTTGAGATAGAATTAGGCTCTCTTTGTGTATCTGTAATATGTATTCATTCACAAAGTAAAAGTATGTTTAAGGGTGTTTATCAGTTATACAATAGTACATGCTTCGCTTAGTTTGGGTGTATATAACGATGTATAAAAAATGTGTCCAGTGTTTAAAAATAATTTGATTTAATAGCTACGCAGTTAACGGGCAAGTTAGCAACTTTATTTATAAACGAGATGGAATTTTATAAAAAGATTTCGTTTATTATTTTTTTTTTTAAAGATGTACCAGAACGGGCAGGTGTTCTACACGGACGAGCCTTGGGCGGGAATGTCGTGTTGGAACTGGGCCTGCAAATGGCGGCACAATCAGAACCAACGCTCAAACGAGTTCTTTGTCAACTGAACAGTGTTGTTACCTTCTATATTTATTATTTAGCCGGAGATTTTACCTACAATACGCTTGTCATCACATATACCTATAAGTTTGTAATTACTGCGACATGTATCAAGATTTTGTCTCGCCCAAAATATATACCAAGAAGGTTTCTTTAAACAATGAAATACAATAAAGATGTTATAACTGTTCTTTTTATATTCTTGCGATTCCAGATATGTCGTCATCGCCAAACGAATTTAAAAAAAAAATCATGTTTCATTTTTACACGGAATCACGCCGTGTGGCATTTTATAGTATAGTAATGAATAGAAGAATCCTTTTCAAGTCAAAAAAGGACCTTTTAAAACAATTTCAAGTCTCATGCACGAAATAAAAATAATAGGTAGCTAAATTTTACTGGCCATCGCAGTGTGGGACGACCCCCCACTACATGGAGTGACGACCTGTGCAAATGTGCGGGAAGTCGATGGATGCAGGTGGCTCAGGATCGTACTCCGTGGCAGTCTATGGGGGAGGCCTATGTTCAGCAGTGGACTCAAACAGGCTGAAATGATGATGATGATGATGATAAATTTTACAAAACTCGACAATGGGAATTGCACAAAACTGTTACGCACGATAATGAAACAAAGACGCTAGCTGCTGCCCGCGACTACATCTGCGTAGAATAGGCTGAAAGCGTAACATTCAGACAGACAGATAAACACAGAAATATGTATATAAATTATAGCCTATGTGTTATTCTGATGTATAAGCTATATTATTGTTAAGTTTCATTGAAATCCATTCAGTTGCATTTGCGTGAAAGAGTAACAAATATCCATCCATACATACATACTTTCGCGTTTATAATAGTAGTATGGATTTGTAAGGACTAGTGGGCATTAAAGCGTATGGTTTTGCTTCCCGATCCTAATACGTTCATAGCACTGTCATAGTACGGTACGGTATAGAGTAAGCAGTCTACTTTAAAGGTATACCGTTTAGTGCCCGTAATAGTTTGTTGTTTTCTTAAACTTTTAGAATTGTCAAATAAAAACAGCTTGGTTTAAAAACGAATTTATTAACAAATAACTACGAATATACATCCCGCGTAGCAACACCTCGATAACACGTCTTTGTACATTCAAAGTTTTAAAACTAAACTTAACAGTTACAAAAAATTCTACGGCGTGGGCGATTTTCACATATTTATATCTACTATTATTTCGTTATAGTGCGGTAGATTGATGTCGTGTAAATAGGTTGGGTTAGGTTGATCCGGACTGGAATACAAACTTGGAACATGCTCAGACTAATTGACCACTTCAAACAATCGTACTTATACACAGCAAAGGGTTACGAAATTACCAAACTATGTATGTGTGTGTAACAATAACAAACAGGATTGTTAATACAAAACGACTCGGACTTCAAATATCTCACACTTTTTAATAGTTCCCGAGTGTAACGTGCGAAACCGATGAATTTAATATGAGGCCACATGGCCGGTTCGGTTTAGGAACCGAATGCAAAATAAAATTTTAAATCGGTTAATAAACGCCGGATTGATATGGGAACAAACATAAAGAAAATATAACCGTATTCTGTATCCCTTTATCTTTAATATTTTTTCTTTACATATTTACGCAACCCTCAAAGGGTCGGACGGTAGAATCGCGTCGGTTTTTAACTAAATTAAAACTATAATTTTTTTACGGACTAGGCTTCTTTATTTCTAAATTATCCTACATATTGCATTCAGATTTCCTACATTTATATTTTATTTAATCTTTATCGTCTATTTATAACCTGCGACCGCCATTCCGACCGTCGAATATTTCGAAGTTTCTTTTATGTTCGGCCTTTAAAACGCCGCGAAACTAACTAAATGATTAGGACATCAAAGTTTTAGTTATTGTTTCTAGAAGCCTCCGAGTTTAATTCTGTACCTCTGAGTTATGTACTCAGCGTCCGGGGCTATTTCTAATTTTTATCACTTTTAGGTACATATTACGTCATGATCCTTTTCAAGTATCTTCATAAGAAAATTATGCTCCTGTAAGACTCACATACGGAACATAGAAAAATAAAATGCAAGGCTTTTAATATTAACAGAACTCAATTTCCTCACAGATGAAGCCACATGATTGTTAGTGGTACAAACGCAAAAATAATGCCGTTAACAATGTAACAGTTACTCTCAACGACGTTTCATATATAGACACGTACGACAAAGTCATTGCACTAAAAAGCGGCGTAAATTATCAATCAAAATACCCACACACATATCGAATAGGCGAAGAAAGAGATGCAATATTAAAACCATCGTAACTATTCCCGTTATTAGAAAGAGACGAACGATAAATGACGTGACCTCGCTTCATTTGTTCCTGAAAACGTAGCGCGAATAGAAACGAATCTATAGTTTTAAGAATTTGGAATCGTGATTAATACATCCCTCTTTAGGTGTTGACATACAGATAAAAAAATTTATACTTGCTGTATTTTTAAATAATAATCTATGGCAATAGAATAAAGATCTAAAAAATATCTAGATTCTAGAAACATATTTTCCGTAATAATGTTTTGTCTTTATTCTATCAGTGAAAAATATTTCTTTCATTCTAATAAAAAAGTTTGTTTTAAGACTTGGACATGGCGGTCGCAATATAATTTTGAAGTAAATTATATAGAATCTCAATTTCAAATATTCATCGACTAAGTAGTTCGTGTCGACACACGATCTCTAAATTGAGTCTTTGATTTATAATGTATAATTAATTATTAATATGCTTAATCTATAATAACAACTTCTTTGATCAAATGTATAATAGTTAATATACATAAATTTCTTTATCCATTAAACAAAGAAAATTATGTAATACAGCCGACTTGTACATTCTTGACCGCCATATTTTTAAAATGGCAGAAACCAAACAAATAATGGCGGTAAGATTGACGTTTATATGGCAATTATTTTAATCGATCGAAGAATCAGATACTTTCTGTTCATCGATCTATCCATTTATTGATTTCATTAAATTGCGTAAATTATATTACATAATATGACATGCCAATAGTTTATTAATTATATAGTAACCATCTTCGGTTTTGTATATACATAGACAGCGTGTCGTTACCATCGCGACAATAAATGAACACACGTCTAACGCTACTTGCCAGTAATCATAAAAAAATATTAACGTTAAACAAAATCCATAATTAAAAAAAAATATTTTTCAAACACCTTGCCACTCCTTCTAACAGTATGTTTTGTCTCTTTTAAATTCATTCAACCCATTCATATGCTTTGTGACCTTTACAAATGAACTTTACGTTACAGTTTTATACGTAAGGGTGTTCTAAAATTAATTATTTTGTTTAAAATTGTTTGTTTTGGAAAATTTAATAACTCGGTAAATATTGATGTTTAAAGAATGTAAATGTTTAATACAATTTTAAAAAGTTATCCTCTATATGTGTGTTCATTTATTGTCGCAGTGGTAACGACACGCTGTATAAAAAGATTGCATAAAATGCGTGTCTGTGAAGAAAGTGAATGACTGTTGGCCGAAATTAATGTAAATAGTAAATTCGCCACTAATTGTTAGATAAATGGCGGTATAGCTAATGATGTTTAGTCCGTATGGAGAAATCCCAAGACGTTAAACTATATAGACGTTATAGTGTGTAGTAATAATAATAATGGCTTAAAAGTCCATCAATTCTTAAAAAGTAGGTACATTTTGCAATCGTATTCTTTAAACTCATATATTATACTATTTCAAACAACAAAATGTGTAATGCTAAAGAATTATAAAATCAATTATTTATTATGAGACTTTTATGTATTTTTAATCTCTGCAATTAATATGAAACATAGAAAATAAAAAAAATGTGGGCGCGAGTCTGGAAGGCGTGGGTTAGATTCCCGCAGCGGTGTATATAATATCTTTTCGTCCATTTTTTTCTACAAAGTTTAATGTTTCATCTTAAATGCAGAGATTAGCAGTATAAATATTTTAATATTATTTTTTTTAAATCTACTCCAATGTGAATACACCTTCAGCTTGCTGTTGCGCTGATGACTGACCACTTTATTTTATTTACTTATAATTCTACCTTCCGGGCACGTTTTATTTTATATAACCTAAATTAAAAAAAAAACCTAGTTCAGTGAACACTTTTAGAATTTTCTTGCCGATCAATTCCCTAACTCATAAATTTCATACATCAAATGTGTACATACAAACTACCCAACAATTCATACAAAGTAATAGAACGGATACAAATATCTCCACCAAGTCCCATTGTTTTCGTCTCCCTCACAAGAAGCGGTTTCCTGAAACGGTAAAAAGGATTAAAACACCAAAAGAACACAATATAAAGCATGCACAATTAACTAATAATTAATCGTAACGCGAATATTATCTTATTGATTGTCAACAAGTCATTTTTTTAGTAACAATAAAGAAAGAAAGAAAGAAAGAAATATTTATTTGGTACACAACAAACAAAACATAAAATAAAAACAAAATAAAAATAACAATTGAAATTTAGAAATCACAACTTGAAAACAATGTACCAAAAAGGTCACCACTCAGCATTACATCGCAAAAAAAGAGAAAAAATTTTTGCGATTGTCGATTTTCAGTGGAACCTGGAGAGATCGATAGATGACGACTTTAACAAAATCGACTTCAAACATCTCGCCTTGTATTCATTTTACAATTGATTTTCAGGAGTTGCATACATATCTCCGGAGTCCACGATCCAATACCAATGAAATTATGGGACCACATGGGAAGCACCAGCTTCCAAATAAAAAAAAAATCATCAAAATCGGTTCCCTCCCAGTTGGAAGTTCTGAGGTAACAAACATAAAAAAATACAGTCGAATCGAGAACGTCCTCCGTTTTTGAAGGTTATAATATAAATTAAAATATAAATATATATATAATATTTCTATATGTATTGTTTAATAAAACAGTTATTGGAGGAACGTTTATCGTTTTATTATATATATTATATTATTATATAAATCTTGCCTCACTCTCTACTCAGTTAATCCTCTCTCTGAGGAGGGACCCATGACAAGCAACCATAGATTAATATATAACACACTGCTAGTGATGTTAGCTATTCAGTCTATGATACATCTCCCTTTTTTACAATGAAACAGAAACTAATAAAACATTACAAAATGTGTTTAAGACTAGTTTGAATACAGAACAATTGACAAACTTTACTTTACTAAAATTTTAAATATGAGTATCACTTTTAAACAAGATAACTTTAAATTATTAAATTAACTTTATATTCAAACACAGTTTTCTTTCTCTTTTCATAAACAAAAAAAATAAACTATTATGTCTAACAACATTTGTACTCTATAGATCTTTTTCACTTAATTATAGTATAAGTATTTAATCAACCTTCTATAACAATATCTACTGTTTATCAAAATAAAAAAAAATACTTAAACAAATTAAACTTAGTTTAAATGCATGAATACACATTGTGTGCCTCCTGAACCTGCACACTCAGCGCTGAACCTGTATCTCCAACAAATCATTGAGGTCGAACATGATATGAAGTTCTTGTGTAAGTACATCCTTCTTCATCTTTTACATCATAGGATCTAAAATTATTATTCCTTACAACTGTTCCTTTTAACCATTTAATACTATTAGGATCCTTTTTAAACCATATATTTTGTCCTACTTCAAAATTTTGCTTAGGTCTAGTTGACTTATTATAATTTCGTTCATTTCTTATTTTAACATTTTTAAATTCCTTGTTTACCTTATGATTAATTTTCGGCTCTAAATGTTTAAATAAAACTGGTAATTTTGTTTTTAAATTTCTATTCATCATTAATTGTGCAGGTGAAAAATTTGTTCCTGAGACCGGACAAGCTCTATATTGTAACAATGCTGCCCTATAATCTGTTTTGTCTTCATTACATTTTGTTAAAATTTTCTTTGCTATCTGAACACCCCTTTCTGCCAGTCCATTTGATTGGGGATATCGAGGACTTGAAAAGTTAAATTTAAAACCCCATTCTTTAGCAAATTTGTGACATTCTCTTGAATCAAATGGAACATGATCTGAAACTACTTCTGTTGGTATACCAAATTGAGAAAATATTTCAATTAAACTATTTATGATACTACTAGCAGACTTACTTGGTAACTTTTTTACATCCAACCACTTTGTTGTGTAATCATAAATAACAAGGTAACACTTTTTCTTAAAATCCATAATATCAACTCCTATTTTTGTGAAAGCCAGTAGTGGCACCTTATGTGATAACAGTGGTTCTTTAACATTGTTCCTCTGATATGTTTGACATACAAAACATTTTCTTACAAAATTTTCTATATGTTCATCACATTTTGGCCAATAATACAGATTTCTTAATGTTTGTTTCATTTTAGTTATACCTAAATGCCCCTCATGTAACTTATTTAATATGTCTAGTCTTAATGTTTTTGGAATAACCAGTCTATTATTTAAAAATATTAAATTGTTATCAACTGTGATGTCTGTACGAAATTTGAAATAATATTTCACTGTGTCTGTGACTTTACAAATTTTTTCTGGCCAACCATTCTTATTATAATCTATAATTTTTAATAATTCCTCATCTTTTAGTGTCTCTGATATTAATTCTTGTTTTTGCTCTTCAGTACATTGTAAGTAAGACGAAATACCGATACAGTGAACTACTTCATATATATAGGCATCCTCATAATCATTTTCATTTAAAAAAGAGCTTGACAGCAAATCAGCAATATGCATCAATTTTCCCTTTAAATATTTAAACTCAATATCATATTTCAACAATTTCAATTTTAGTCTTTGTAAACGTGTTGATGGTATCTCATGTATACCCTTTTTAAGTAAAGTTTCTAAAGGTTTATGATCATTTAATACTAAACATTTTCTACCATAAATGTAATAGTGAAATTTTTGAGTTGCCCAGACTATACTTAGTAATTCTTTTTCTATTTGCGAAAAGTTTCTTTCAGCTGAACTTAAACTGCGAGATGCATAGCTTACTGGTTTGCCATCCTGCATCAGACAACACCCTAAACCATCTTTGGAAGCATCACATTGTATTGTTACTGGTAGATTACTGTTAAAATTTTGTAGTACAGGTGCTTGACTAATGCACTTTTTAATATTGACAAAAGCATTTTCATGTATTGGTGTCCATAACCATTCAACATCTTTTTTTAACAATGATTGTAATGGAGCTGCCAAATGCGCTAGCCCGGCTACAAATCTTCTTAAGTAATTGATCATAGCTAATATTATTTGTAACTCTTTTTTATTTTTAGGATTTTTTAATTCCATTATAGCTTTTATTCTATCTGGATCAATCATCATGCCTTTTTTAGAGAAAATATGCCCAAAATATTTTACTTCTTTTAATTTATATTGGAACTTCCTTTTATTGAATCTAACATTATGTTTTTTAGCCCTTTCAAATACTTGTGTCAATATTTGATCATGCTCTTTGTCATTGTCAGCACAAATTAACAAGTCATCGCAATAAACTACTACTCCAGGTATATCTCCAAACGTTTTTTCACTATATTTTTGGAAAATTTCTGGTGCTACAGAAATTCCAAAAGGTAACCTTAAAAATTGATAACAACCAAAAGGAGTACTAAATGCACATAGCTTTTTTGAATTGTCTTTCAATTTAATGTTATAAAATCCATCTGATAAATCTAATACAGAAAATACAGACTTATTACAAAGCTTTGTTATAACCTCGTCCAGAGTTGGTATTAAATGATACTCTCTTATCAACACTTTGTTGAGTTCCTGAGGATCAAGACATATTCTTAAACTCTTATCTACTTTTTCAATGATGACCATGTTACTTACAAAACTCTCAGGATGTTCGACTTTCTCAATGATTTGTTGTTCTTCCAGGCTCTTCAATTTTTCGGCCAATCTATCCATCAATGCATGTGGAACTCTGCGAGGAGGCTTTATTACAGGCCTTGCCTCAGGCTGAGTGTGTAGCTCCAATGGCACTTCAAATTGCCCAACACCCTGAAAAAGTTCAACATATTTATTAATAATTAAATTTTTATCTTTGCAACTAACACTGTTGATACTTCTTAAAATTTTTAGGTTTCTTAATGAAGTTAAGCCTAGAATGGGTTTGACATTTTCTTTTATTATTATGAACTCAGTGTCATACATATACTCATCATTTATTACTTTTAAATTAGTTTTACCTAGTGGATATAATTTTGTTCCCCCAAATGCCTCTAAAACTATTGTTGTCTCAGACCATTTAGGAGAATCATCATTGACAATCTTTTTCAAATCTCTCAATGACAAAACATTAACCTGTGCCCCTGTGTCACACTTAAAATCCACTTTTTTATTTTCTACTCTTAATGATAGAATCCATTCATTGTTTTTTATATTACCAATACTATGACATTGTTTAATTAGTCATAAATCATGAACTGATACCTCATTCAGGAATTTACAACCTCTTCTGAAATGATTGGGTTTGTGACAGTTTGAACATGTTTTTCCAAACGCTGGGCAACTACGAGGGCCATGTTTGGAACCACATTTTTTACATAGATAATGATCCCTATCATTAGAATTTTTAAAATACTTATCTTGTCTTGAAATTTGTTCTGGCACATCCGGCTGTTTTTTCTGTATGACATCAACTGCTACGGTCTGCTGCTGCATCACTTTAGCTTGTGCCTTTGCTAGCTCTGATGCTCTGCACATGTCTACGGCTTTCTCCAGGGTTAAGTTGTTAATGGATAACAATTTCTGCTGCAACTTCTTGTCTAACACTCCAATGACGATCCTGTCTCGAAGCATTCTTTCGTCTTGGTCTTTGTAATTACAATTTTTTACCAGTTTTCTTAATTCTGTGTAGAAGAGATCGAAATTTTCACCTTGCTCTTGTTTCCTTTCATTAAAGTTGTATGCATTTATCAGTTCATTTTGTCTAGGCGTGCAATAATCATCAAATTTTTTTAGAATTTCTTCATATTTTAGTTTTTCTTCAGATTTTAGTACGTTGAAGTAAAGATCCTGAGCATCATGTCCAATACAATTAAGTAAAATGGCGACTTTTCTGTTGTCCGCCACTCTGTCTAATCCGGCCGCTGACAAAAATATTTGTAATTGTTGTTTGAATCTTACCCATTCCGGCAGTAAATCAACCCCTGTGTTGAGTTTCAAGGGTGCCGGCATACGAAAATCACAGCTTGCCATCGTTTCGGCTTCAATTGTTAGATCAATTTTTTCTGCCACGCTTTCATCCATTGACATCTGCTTCTTTTCTCTGTTAAAATATATTCTTTTTGTGGTTCTTGACCGACTGCGCCATGTATTGTTTAATAAAACAGTTATTGGAGGAACGTTTATCGTTTTATTATAAATATTATATTATTATATAAATCTTGCCTAACTCTCTACTCAGTTAATCCTCTCTCTGAGGAGGGACCCATGACAAGCAACCATAGATTAATATATAACACACTGCTAGTGATGTTAGCTATTCAGTCTATGATACACTATACTCCTCCGTTAAAGCAAAAATGTTTTTCTTTTTTTTTTTTAGCGGGCGGTTGTTAAGTACTGGCTTGCATTGCCATTGCCATTAGACAGATGCGTTGCCATTTTAAATACTGCAAGACCCGACTAACTCACTCACCAGACGAAAAAATAAGTGTGTAAATGATCGTGATACGAACCGCGGCCGTCTGTTTAGGGGCCGCCCGATTACCGACCGACATAACATTTTTTTGCGGCGAAATTTACTGTCATATTCGAATGATATTTTTCATTCCCTGAAAACAGGGATAAAAGGACATTTTCTAAAAATGAAACCTAGCTAGATCGATTTTCCGCCCCCGAATCTACGCACATACTAAATTTCAAGAAAATCGCTTGAGCCGTTTCCGAGATTCCGATTATGTATTATAGATATATATACAGCGTGTCGTTACCATCGCGACAATAAATGAACACACATATAGGGGATAACTTTTTTAAAGTTGTATTAAACATTTAAATTCTTTAAACATCAATATTTACACAGTTATTAAATTTTCCAAAACAAAGAATTTTAGAACACCTTACCTATAAAAGTAGTAACGTAAAGTTCATTTGTAAAGGTCACAAAGCATATGAATGGGTTGAATGAATTTAAAAGAGACAAAACATACTGTTAGAAGGAGAAGCTTGTAATGCGACGCAGTGACGCGAGTTGTATAGGATGTTACAATTTTTTTTTCTTTTTTACTTAATTAGTTTGTTTGAAAAATATATTTTTTTTAATTATGCATTTTGTTTAACGTTAATATTTTTTTATGATTATTGGCAAGTAGCGTTAGACGTGTGTTCATTTATTGTCGCGATGGTAACGACACGCTGTATATACAAGAATTGTACTATCGAATACTCGTTTAAAAGATAAGATAATTGACAATTAAAATGGTTGGTATTACGAGTGACCACCAATTTGGATCCATTAAAGATAGACGAAAAGTAACTACTGGAATAAAACTTAATGCAAGCTTGGACATTGATCAGGGTGCTCTGTACTTTTTCGAAAACATTAAACTGTGTGGATCACAATATACCAAATAAGAAAAAAAGTTATAAAGTTACGGCGACCAAACGACCCTACTTAATTGGCGGACTTTGTATATTTTTTTTAAGATTAATTTTACATTTTTTGTGCTAGTCAAAAATCAAGGTAAAACTTTTAAAATGTCAACTTATTTAGATAAATGAATAAAAACTTTCGGCGCTGCGGGATTCGAACCTGAATATTTTTTTATTCTGTTTTTTAGTATTTGTTGTTGTAGCAACAAGAGAAAAACATCGTCTGTGAAAATTTCAACTAACAGGCGACAGCTGACAGGCGGACAGACAGACAGCGGCGTCTTAGTAATAGGGTCCTGTTGTACCTTTTGGTAACGGAACCCGAAAAATACTAAACATATATTGGAAAAAATTCTATCACGTATCAAACCGAGATTGGTGTCAATTTAAATCTACATCTTGTTTGTCTTTTAAATACACACCTTCGTTTCTGTACAATTGTTCGTTACCGTCTCCGCTTGAACTCCGTTCTTCTCTTCGTATCTCTTATTTTCTACAGCTTCTACACTTTTCTCTTTGCTCTTAACTTCTACATAATTTCTCTCAGCTTTGGCCTCCATTCGTTCTGTGGTATTGTTATCTTCGTTCTCAGTTCGATTCGTTGCGGCTTCAATCTTTTCTCCTCTCTTCTCTTCCTTCTCATCTTCTTTTTCATCCACCGTCGCGAACTGGAGGTCATCGGTTTGGGTGCTTTGGTCTTTCGTCCGTTCGCTGGTCTCCATTTCCGGCCCGTCTTTCGACGACTGCGAAATAAATTCTACGATAAAATCGCTGACACTCTTAACATAATTTTTATGATCAGAAAATTTTTCAAACAACTTAGTATAAACAATGTCGAACAATTTGTAAATGCTACCCTAATGCAAGGGCCTACTAAAATGTCCAAGAATACATTGAGGACAATGATGTGTGGAAATGACTCTTGCTCTGCACTTGCAAGACCCCTGTCCGCTGCTGATTTTATACCTAAATAAGTGTGTATAATTGCATAAAAAAAATAACAAAAAGAACAAGACCGCTAAGTTTCTTGCCGGTTCTTCTCTGTTCAGGTCTAGTTTAGTGAACCGGTGGTAGATTTTTTGTTGACGTTCAATAAGAGCTTAAGTTAAGCCTATATTGAAAAAAGATACTTTGACTTCTAGTAAATGTAAGTAAAGTAACGGTCTATACACATCCCACTGCTGGGCAAAGGCCTCATCTATACAGATGGTATTAGGGCATAGTACACCACACTACTCCACTGTGGATAGGCAGTCTTCACATATCTACGATATATTTTTGTTCTAGTTATTATTAAGAAAACTTGCAGGTTACCTCGCGATGTTTTTTCCTTAACCGCTGAGCACTTAAACGTAAGTCAGCAGTTAAAACTATTTAATTAGCTTATGATTAAATTATTTTCATTAGTTCTGCACCGGGACTTCAACTCTGATTGCTCTAGTATATTGTAGACTAGCTGTGCCCCGCGACTTCGTGCGCGTGAAATTGAAAGTAAATGAAATTTCGGAAATAAAAGTAGCCAAGTTACTCCTTATTAAGTCAGCTATGTGCCAGTGAAAGTCCCGTCAAAATCGGAAAGGCCGTTTCGGAGATTAGCACGAACAAACACAAGACAGACAGACAGAAAACAATGTAAAAAATGTTATTTTGCTATATGTGACATGTATACATCCACATGCATTTATAAAAAGCAGTTATTTTAATATTACAAACAGACACTTCAATTTTATTTAACTGTGGGCGTCGGTTGTCTTTTTTTTATGTGAAAAATTGCCAAGCGGGCAGACGGTTCACCTGATGTTAAGTGAATACCGCCGCCTATGGAATATGCTACACCCGAGGGTTGCAGATGCTTTGACAACCTTTTGAAAATTGGGTTCCGGCCACCTCACTCACCAGATGAAACGCGAAATTATTATACTTCCACTTTATACCGGGTCTTCTGTGAGGTCGCGGTACTTACCCGGACGAGCCTGCCCATGCGTGCAACAGCCGAAATTAACATCTGGTGAACCGGCTTGCCACCTTTTCACATCAAAAACAAAATTCACCTCCATATCCTGTTCGCTGATCTGTTCGGCCACATCCTCGATCCGCTCGTCGACTCGGCCCGGGTCGAAGGGTGTGAAGTCGGGCATTTCCTGTAAAGGAGAAATGAACTCTATTTCAATGCGCATAAGGCGAATTTGTTCAGAATTTGTTTCTAAACTTCCGCCGTTTGATAACGCTCGCCAAAATTTTCAACGGCGACTTAAAGAATGATTACATCATGCCCTTGCAACCATTTGTCCCTTAACTTATATTTTATGGGCCCATTGGTTTGGAACCTTTATTTCTGGACATTGAAAACATTAACGTGAACGGTAAGTATTGTTACGAACACACAAAGAACAAAGAAACTAGCGCCATCTAGCGTCAACCAATAAAACCACTCAAAGAACAAAGACAGCATAAAACGCCCTACTCAATACTAGATGGCGTTAGAGGAACTACTGTGGAACTATATAGAACTATAGTCTCGAAAACCGGGTACATTCGCGAACTTTCCGGAATCACGATCACGTTCGCGCAAGTCGGGTACGTTCCAGGAAGGAACTTGCTGGAATAGTCTGGGTCTCGTCTCGGCCCATATAAAAAGCCGCAGGGAGGCGAGCCAGTACAGTTTGAGCTACCTTCGAGGCGGCTTCGGATTTTGCGAAACTAGTGATCAAGAGCGATACCAGCGAAACCTACGACTTGGCTACAACCTAGGACATCGTTAGTGCTTAGTGTTTGGACCTAGCGCTTTGTTTTGGACCTAGTGCTAGTTTTGAATAAAATCTTCAAAAGAGTCAGCAGGTCTTTCTCTCCAAATCCTTAGAACCCTGACACGTAACAGTATTACTCCGACCGCAAACAGTGTCTCACATTTTCGCAGCCACAAATACCGTGCGAATAATCTCCGGGCGCCTTTTTTTATGTGAGAAAGTGGCAAACGAGCTGGCGATTCGCCTGATGTTAAGACAGCACCGCTGCCCGTTGACATTTGCAACACCTGTTGCAGATGCGCTGCCACCTTCTGATGAAGTGCGCCCCGGCTACCTCACTCGCCGGTCTTCTGCGAGGTCGTGGTACTAACCCGGACGGACCTGCCCATTCGTGCAACAGCGGATACTGTTGCGTGGTTCTACCACGGTTACGCTGTACCACCAACTTAAGTTGCCGAAAACAAACTGTCTCCTACTTGACTTACTGGAAACAGTGTCAAGTGTGAGGATGTGGAAAAAGTATCGTTATATCGATATTTTCGATTCTACATACGATATTTTCAGCCGAGATATATTGGTCTGATAAATCGATATGTGCCGTGATAGCTCAGTCTCCGGGCGCTCGCCTTTAATTCAATTTGCTCGGGCAACCTGAGTTCGATCCCCGGTGCCAATGAAATTGTTAACTTCAAGTGCAGACATATCACCTGTTCCGCGGGGAAAGCAAACATCGTGAGGAAACCTGCATATTTTCGAAATAATAACAAATAAAAACATTTCGAAGACGTGAAGTCCGCCAATCCGTATTGGGGTCGCGTGGTGGACTATGCTCTGATACCCTTTGTACAGAGGAGGAGTTTGCCCAGCAGCGGGACATTCACAGGCATTTTATTTAAATGGATACAAAATATTCAATATTGAACATCGTAACAGAAACGGCGTAGAGTCCGTAGGCGTCAAATATTTATCGACATAATACTTGACACACCTTATTACGGACTATGGGTCCGATATATCGATATCGCCACCGCCGATATCCCTAGCCGGCAGAGAGCGACCGTAAGCACGACGTCACCCCCCCCCCACCCTGACCGTCACCCGGCCAACGCGCGGCATCACTCCCCACATCCCCCTCGCCTGGCCAACGCGCGGCGCCACCCCCCCCCCCCCCCCCCCCCCCCGTCCCCCACCCCTCACCTGGCCGACGCGCGGCGTCCTCCCCCCTCCTCTCACCCCGCCCCCTCACCTGGCGATCGCGCGGCGCGCCGGCCGCCCACTGGCAGTAGTCCCGCGCGGCGCGACGCATCCTCGCCAGGTATGCGGGCGCGGCGCGGCCGCTCGCCCACGCGGCCACCCCGCCCGGCATCCCCCCCACCGCCGGCTCGTCGTAGTACGTCAGCACGAACTCCATGCCCGGCTGTGGTCGACGAGGGTGGACCTTCGTTAATCTCCCTTTGGTACGGCCAGTGTCTTTTATGCTGTCCGTCTGTCCCTATGTATGCTTACATCTTTAAAATTACACAACGGATCTCGATGCGGTTTTTTTTAATACATAAAGTGATTCAAGAGGAAGGTTTATAATTTTGTTTAATACATTGCAATTGCACGGATGCAACGTCCGTAGCTGGGGCGGATCTCTGGTAAAAGTATAATAATATGAACTACATCACTACATAGTATAAAACAAAGTCGTCCCGCTGCCTGTCTGTCCCTAAATATATTGTGTGCATGTTTTCGAAGGGAAGACTTATACAGATTTACCAGGTCGCAGTGTTTCGTTGGGATTTACAACCCAAAGAAACAAATAAAAAAATACCCACCTTCTCAGATCCCTGCACAGTCTTCACCACCATATGGCTCCAATACTCCATCACTCTGATCGCGTGCTTAGTCTGCGGCACGTCCGGGTGTTCGCAGGACCGCGACACTATTATGTACACCTTGTTGTCGACTAGCACGCTGTTGCCGTCCCGCTCGCTCGCGTACATCTCCATAGACCGCCGTTTCGCTCTCGCGTGCACGTTCGAGCCCGGCTCGGTGGCGCGCGGGGGGCGGGCGGCGCGGGGCGCGCACTCGCTCGGCGGCCGCTCGTTGGGCGCGTCGAACTCCTTGTGCCGCCGGATGTACACGTAGTCACGGTTCGCGAACAGCCTCTGTGGGCAGTCATTGCAAATTACATTATCGTCCTGATGATTGTAGTTCGTTGGTTTGATAGTGGGCGGTTCACACCGTGTTAAGTGAATAACGCCGCCCATGGACATCTGCTACACCTGACGATTTGCCGATGTGTTGGTAACCTTTTTGAAAATTGGGCTCCGGCCACCTCACTCACCAGAGGAAACGCGATAGTATTATACTTCCACTTTACGCCGTCAAACTGTGAGGTCGTGGTACCTACCCGGACGAGCCTGCCCATTCGCGCAACAGCCGAGGCTGCTGCGTGCTAACACATTTGGATAAGTTAGTTAAAATTACAAAAAAGAGGATACCTGCGGAGTTTCTTTCGCCTGTTTCTTCTCCGCTACACGAACCTCATTACGAAACGAACCACAACAGATTAAAGAAAAATTACTATCGATATACATTTCATTTATCGACAGTATTCTTCTTATTTCGATGAATGAAGTATTTTGATTTGGTTTTTAAAAGGCGAGACAACTTAATCAAAACGTCTTCGCGCGCGCTCGACTCGGGGAGTGAGCTGATGAGTGGCGGCAGGTGTTGCCAGCACAACATATTCGAGGTGCGCCAAACCGCAGCGGGGCGACGCTCCCGTCATCGCCGCAACGAGTACCCACCGGCCAGAGCACCTCCCAGTGCAGCACCGCCTGGCCCTCGACGCCCTTGGCGGCCCTCTGCACCACCGCCAGGGAGGCCACGGCCGCGTCCCACACGCGGCGGTACGCGCCGTCCAGCTGCACGGCGGCGAAGTCGCGCGCCCTCACGTCCGGGTAGCGGCCGTACACTGCGGTCCGTACACATAGTATTAACCGATGCTTCTGCTTACGGTCCCGAGACCATTAAAGCTTCGTCTGACGCGGTCCGTACATCTTGTATCTTGTATTAGCCGATGTTTCTGCTTACGGTCCCGGGACCATTAAAGCTTCGTCTGACGCGGTCCGTACATCTTGTATCTTGTATTAGCCGATGTTTCTGCTTACGGTCCCGAGACCATTAAAGCTTCGGCTGACGCGGTCCGTACATCTTGTATCTTGTATTAGCCGATGTTTCTGCTTACGGTCCCGAGACCATTAAAGCTTCGGCTGACGCGGTCCGTACATCTTGTATCTTGTATTAGCCGATTTTTCTGCTTACGGTCCCGAGACCATTAAAGCTTCGTCTGACGCGGAACCGGTGGGCTAGCCGAAAGCCACGGGCTTGGGCCCCGCGTGTGCTCGCGCGTGCGTTTAGCTGAAATTTGTTCTACTTGCCTATGTTTCGTCTATTGGGGAAAAAGATAACTTGAAAATGGTATTTGAATAATAAAATTTGATGGGCAATCACGTAAGTTATTGCGTACCGGAAAATAAACGCCTGTGAAATCCTTATTAATATTATGAGGGCGAGAGTTTGTATGTATGGATGGATGTTTGTTACTCTTTCACGTAAATACTACTGAATGTATTTTAGTGAAACTTTACAATAAATTTATAGTACCTGGAAGACCGGAGTAGCCCACCGGTTCTGCGTCAGATGAAGCTTTAATAGTCTCGGGACTGAAAGCAAAAACATCAGTTAATACAAGATACATGATACTTTGATTTAGTAAAAGAAGGGATGCCGAAAGTTAAGAAATATATCGATATTTATAAAAATATCAATATCGTTCTCGATTCATCGAAGAGTTAATATCGATATATCGATATTTTATTTTAGGCCCTGTTCAAAAAAAACGTATGACAAATATTAAATATCTGAATTTACGGACTCTTCCGGATTCGAATTCGAACAAAATATCATTTTTGATACGATTTTGATATTGAATATTATATATCGATATATTGGACCAAAATATGTCACCCAAAAATATCGATATATTGAAAAAAGTATCGATTTATCGATATCTTTTCGGCATCCCTAGGTAAAAGTATCGCCCGAAAACATCGATATATTTAATAAAAAAAATATCGATATATCGATTAGATGACATGCCGTAATAAATTTTAATGCTTTAAAAAAGCTTTCGTTTAAAACTCTTTTACAAATTATGTATAACAATGCCATCTATTGACAAATAATTTTAAAATAAAGAACACACTAAACCATACTTTTCTTTTATAAATAAATACAAATTACAAAATATTAAACACCCAGACACTGGAAAAATGCTATGCTCATCACACATTATTTTTCAATTATTGGGGATCGAATCCACACCCCCTGGCGCAAGAGCACGTTTATTTATTTATTTATTTACCCTTTATACACAAATAGTACAATGGCGAATCGTACATAAAACCGTTAGTGACCAGAGAACTCTAGAACTGCTGAATAAAAAAGTCCATAAAGGAAATTTCTAATAGAAACAGGCCACACACCATCTGCGCGGAAAACGCCATAGTGACCATTCTCCACAAAAAAGGCGACAGTACAAAACTAGAAAACTATAGGCCGATTAGTCTTCTCTCTCAAATGTACAATCTCTTCACCAAAATTCTGTGCCACAGACTCACACGCCAACTTGACGAGTACCAACCAATTGAACAAGCAGGATTCAGGAGAGGATATTCCACTATAGATCACATTCATACAGTGAAACAGTTGATGGAGAAATGTCTGGAATACAAACGGTCATTATGTATTGCTTTCGTAGATTACGAAAAGGCTTTTGATAGCGTAGAACACTGGGCCGTATTCCATTCACTTCATCGCTGTCAGATAGATTCACGGTATGTTGATGTCCTCCGCGATACCTACAAGTCAGCAACAATGCAAGTGAGGGTTCATGCTCTTACCAAAAACATCCCCATCAAGCGAGGTGTGAGGCAGGGAGACACCATTTCACCCAAGCTTTTTGCCTCCGTCTTAGAAGACGTGATTAAGAAGCTTGATTGGGAGAGTAAAGGTATCAACATCAATGGGGTCTTCTTGTCACACCTTCGCTTTGCGGATCCTGTTTAGTGAGCGGATGCAAGATCTCCAAGAAATGTTACAACAACTTTATGATGCTTCTCTAAAAGTAGGCCTCAAGATGAATATGTCCAAGACGAAGGTGATGTCCAATATGACCGGTGACTCGCAAGTGGGTATTACCGTCGGCGCAGATTCATTAGAGCTTGTTGAACACTATATATATCTTGGACACTAGTTGTCATTTGCCAGAGAAGATCGTGATAAAGAGGTCTCTCGCCGCATTCAATTAGGTTGGGCTGCCTTTGGTAAGCTCGAAGACGTACTTAAGGACTGTAAAATACCACAATGCTTGAAAACCAAGATTTATAATCAATGTGTTCTGCCCACCATGACCTATGGTTCCGAGACATGGAAGCTCACAAAGGATACAGTGCACAGAATGCGAGTCGCACAGCGAGCTATGGAGCGTTCCATGCTGGGTATCGGGTTAAGAGATCGCATCCGCAATAAAGAAATCCGTCGTAGGACGAAGGTCTGCGACGTAGGTGACCGGATAATGCGGCTCAAATGGCGCTGGGCAGGGCACATTGCCAGACATGGTAATAGCAGGTGGAGTAAAATGTTAACCGAATGGATCCCTCGAGAAGGAAGACGTGGCGTCGGCAGACCACCTGCCCGATGGGTCGACGATATCAAAGCGATTGCAGGAAAAACATGGATGCGATACGCTCAAGACAGGGAAGAATGGCGCAAGAGGGAGGAGGCCTATGCCCAGCAGTGGGCTGATACGGGCTGACGATGATGATGAGTACAATGGCGGGCTTAATGCTAAAAGCATTATCTCCCAGTCACCCTTGGGGTGGTACAGAGAAAATTAGGTAGGCACAGAGAGATATCCAACAAGGAAAACGCTAATATTTCACAAGTTCACTACCCACTACGCCAATCGGGTGATTATAATTCGTATTTGAAGTCGGTTTTTGTTGTTTTGTTCATAATATCGCACTCTTATATATTTTTATTTGCAAATTATTAAATATAAAGGTTTCTGTGTGCTATTTGAGTTTATTTCAGTCGCGGTGTCTAACCGATATCTAGCAGTACATCATATGTGTATGTATTTTTTTTTTCGAATTGAATTTTCAATTGATTAAAACAATTGAAATTTCAATTGATTGACACATTGATTAAAAACCTCTTAACCTAATAGTTCTGTCATGGCGATAAGAGCGAAGGCTTAATGAATTTCATTAAACTATAAAATATGTATCAATAGTTTATTAAAACTAGTTTCTGAACGATTTCTTTAAAAACTTGCAGTTACTATAAGGATGAATGATAATGGTTCTGAGACGATCATACAATCAGATCCAAACTTGTTAGCATGTTTTTATAACGTCATTAGTGAATTTATTTTTATTTATTTATTTTAATAAGTTAACAATTTACACTGGATACTTCTTAAGGCTAACAGTAAATAACTTTAGATTGAACATATATTATTGTAACAATTACTTAAATATTAACACCACATGTACAAATAAAACTATAATATTGAATCGCAAATAAATTGAAAAACTTGAATAAAATTTAACAGAGTTGGCCGTATTTACTTATAACATAAAGAGAATAGCTTTAATAGTTTCTTGTTTCTGCAAACAAGTAATATTAAAGATGAATGCAATCGTCGATGATCATAATCAGTAATCACTACATCCTCCTGCCCTTATCCCCTTCTAGATGGGATCGACACAACATATGGAACATGTTGTGAGCGGTTTCGGCTATGTTTTTTGGCGTTTCTTGGGACATTTATTATATGTGGGTCACACAAATAGATTTCCCGTGTGGGATTCGAACCCACGACCCCCAATGCTGAAGATAATAGCTTAGCCACCGAGTCACATCACCGACCATAATCAATTTTACAAAATTACAAAAATTTAAAAATCACAATGACGCAATGTTTTAGCATTATATAACAATGTGTGCTTACACGTCTAAGATAAGGTTTGATTAAGAGGTGTGTGATAATGAGGCGAGGTCGACTCGCATTTCGACCTTGATAAAGACTAATTCCGTATTAGGTCCGATGGTGGACTAGAAGCTAGACTAAGCGATGACAAGTTAAAAAAACCATTGAAGCAGAATCAGGTGTTTAGCTGTTTTAAAAAAAACTGCATGCAATATGTATATGTATGTATTTAGACGTATATGTAATCGCGGTACCTCGAAACAGTATTCGCCTTCTACCTTAAAAATTATATATCACTCCTCACCTTTGTAGGCATAAAGACCTTGGCCAGGCTTGTACTCCTTACGCCAGATGATCACATCCTCCGCCTCCATGTATGGGACCCAACCGTCGGAAGACTCCTCGGCCGGCTGCCCATCTTTGCAGCTGTCGGTGGCGCAGAAAAAGAGGGATGTATTTTAATATATCACCATCATAAAATAAAAATTTCATTATCATAATTTGAGGCATTATTAGTTCACTATTGACACATAGGCCTCCCGGCCATAATGGGGCTTAAATCTTACAACAACTTAAAAAAATGTAGTGGACCGCATTGTGAACTAAACCATTCTCGAATCGACCTGAAGACACACACAAAATTTCATTAAAATCGGTCCAGCCGTTTAGGAGGAATTCAGTGACATACTTACGCAAAAAATAAATTATATATAAAGATATATGGATGTAGGTAGGGTTGGTGACATAAATTTTACAGATAAGCGTAAAAACACAATAAACCCAATATGTTTATAACATATTGGTTTATTGTTTTTACGCGAATATTATCTTATTGATTGTCAACAAGTCAATTTTTTTAGTAACGAAAAACAAAACCGAACCAAAACTTCAAATACCCCCCTCTATATACATTTTATAACCTATTTTCAGGAGTTCCAAAAAAAAATCATTTTTTTATTATTATATAAAAGAACATAAATATATTTTTATTATATTACGTGGAAAGTGGCTCCGAAAGAAAATAAAAAATGAAAATTCTCCTCAGAGAAAGTGGGAGAATAAATTTCTGAGAATGATTACAGCCGTTACGACACATTACACATTTTGTTTTGTCCAATAATTAACCAGTTTCATGAACTCGCTTCAGAAATTGATACACCAACTGCATTGAAGCTTATTTTAGTTGTAGCTTATTTTTTATTGAACTTTCTTTTTAAATTTCTTACAGTTTGTGTAGAAGAGTCGCCACTTTTGAAATAAGATTTTACTAGTACCTTACTTTATTCGAGCGTATAGTATCCCGTTTCGCTAATGTCAAACATAAGACTTACCTTACATTTTAATAGCATTTTATGTATAGAAATAATTCAGATGGCAAAACAACGTTTGCCGGGTCAGCTAATATATATTTATAATAATACTCTTCTCAATCTGTCTTTAGAGCCTCTCAAAAATTACTCAAGAGTTACTCCAATTGTTGAGTACTGCATGTTTTACGGGCCTGTATTTGTGGACTTATTAGCTATCTGTTGACCATTCTGGTAACTTTTAAGCTCCGATTCAAGTCAGTTTTCTATGTGTAACCATCCCTCTCTGCCAAAAAAAACCCAAAAAATGTACGTACTCACAGTACTGCACGCCCGCGTGCTTCTTGTCTATTGACACGCGAAGTCCACAGCTCCTGCAGTGCAGAGTCGATTTCATTAAGCTCTTTACAGACTCAAGTTCCGACAGCAAACCCTGTAAGTAGATAAAATTTGCAATGTCACACCAATTTACTTAGAAATGTTTAATCTGAATAACTTGTTTACATACCAAATTATTTTTTTTTATTGCACTGATGATTCTAAAGAATTTGCTAGTAATATTTTGAATTAACCCTTGTTGGTTACAATTTTTTAGCAGACTAATGGTAGTGCAAATTTAAGACACTAAATGGATCCTGGGTTAAAATAAAAAAGACCTTATCAGATGCTAGGTAAGTGGACAGGATAATTAAGATTCAGGTGATAAAAATGTAATAAATAGTATATGGTTTAGGGCCGTTTCACCGATCCATATAAAATCGTCATCATCAAGATCTGTAAGGCATCATGTGTTGAACAATAGCTTCCCCCTTAGGACGCCACAAGCAATGACTAAGCCAATTTACTTCAAGCTTCACTAAGCCAATTCATAGATGCAAAAGATATTTAAAATACAGTTTATTCTATGTAGGTAAACCTTTTTATTACTCTTTCAAACAACATTATGTGCAATATAAATGCAAAGGAAAATAAATCTGAATTTTACAGATTTCTATAAAACTAAAAAAACTTTATTTTTAAATTTTAGAAATACTTGGCAAATAATTTAAATAGTGTGGGAATCGAACGCACAACCCCCCATGCCGTAGCCAATAGCTTAGCAACTGCACCACCGAGTCATCTGTGTACATAAATTATTAATTAAAAATGCTGCAATATGCGGCATCATTTGTATATTTACCAAATTTTTTGTGTATCCTATTTCAAATTATATAGCAGCGTAAACTCTTTATAACGAAATTCAAGCGAACTTGTATTTTTTGCATTATAAAGAATTTTCGTTATTCAGAAGGAAGAGAAGAAATAATCCAAATCTAACCAATTACAATAATTTGTAATTTATTTATTACCAATAGGTAAGTTATTCTAAACACATATATTCTGTTACTTTGCCTGCTGTGTTTTGCTATGCCAGTATTTTTTATGTATTTTTAAAGTATTTTGTGCATGTCTTGGGATGTGGCGGAATCATCTTTTATGACCTCACATATCTTTCTTAGAAATTTCGGCACCTCAATGTATTACTTTTGTAAGTTGATTATAAAAACAATGTTAAATATGTTGTTCATGTCTAGATATATATTTATTCATAATACAGAATGGCTGTTGCATTATAAAGAGTGAATTAATGTGTGGGTTTGGTGAAACCAACCAAATTAAACTAACTTCCATGTTATAGAGATTTTTTTCATTGTAAAAAGATTATAAAGAGTTTACACTGTAGTTATATAACTTCTATTTAATTAGTACTATTACAATGAGTACTGTATTATTTAAAAAAAAAATCTTCGAATGTTACTAATAACCAAAGCCCACTAAGGTGAGTGGTTAACCTAACTGTGACATCAGTGACCTTGGCCAGTGGAATTCTCCATACCTTCAATTCGTCATCCGTAATTCCAACATCGCGATCGGCCGCCTCTTCACTACGGCTGTTGTATGCCGCAGTGACAGACAGCAACAGAGTTCTGCGCGGTTTGAAAAAAGCCTGTCTGAAACATTGCAACACTTCTCGCACAACACGTTCTCGTCTACAGCGGCGTGCCACGGTACCGAATATATAACTGCGAGTCCAATTACTCCACAATCTCTTAACGTTGATATCTCTAAAGAAAACTGATCTAAAAGTCGAAGACATCCCGTTTAAAGTCCAGTTTTGGACCCGTTGGCCTTTCAGTTATGACATCAATGCGTCGAAGATGATACTTGTGCAGCAGCGAAGCATTTTACATTTTGTTTGCTGCTGTATTCATTTAAATGTAGAATAACACGAAATGTAAAGCGATTGTGAAATTATAACCTCCAACTTGATAAGACAACTTGACAGCACGTTGGAATGTTGTCATATCGAAATTCCAAATTATGTAATCATTAAAACACGTACTTGGATATCTTTGACAGATAGTAACAAGTATAATGTAACTTTTCTATAAAGTTCGTTATTACAACTCAGTCTATTTTAAGCAAATAGTACTTAAAATGTATTTTTGCTACATATGCCCGACTATTTTTTTTTTTGTGGAGTACGGTACACGGGTACAGGCACACTATAGCTCGCCGATTTTACAACTTCGTCGGACGGAAAACGTCAGTGGATAGGGTTGTGTTATTAATATCGCGATTGGAATAACAATGTTCTTAATAATATTACATTTTATATTATAAAAGCAGTTTCTTTTATATTATAAAAGTTAGAAATTTGCATTAGTATATAATTAAACTTTAACGAATTTTGAATGTTTTGGATGGGATTTAAAAAAAAAAAGAAAAACTCCTTGGCAAAAGGTGGAAACTCAGCTTAGGCTACAACAGACGGCATAAGGCTGACTGTGTAGCGCTGATATGAGATATGTTATACTTATAAATATAAAGTGCGTCAAACTTCAGCGTTAAAATATAGTTAATCTTAAGTGTTGGTATCCAAAAGATGGTTTTTGTTGACTCTGAAATTGCTTTTTTTAAATGGTACATTATATAATAAACCACTATTTACAAAGTTACATGTAACTAAATAAGATACTATCTAAAATACTTAGTCCATGCGGTATGATGCCAAAAACCCTATCTGTATTATTAAGCTAATACTTATGCTTTATCTTTGAGGAAAGCCAGCCACGACGATAAGTCTAAAACTAAAATTTCGGTGTACGGTGATCCCACGGACCTAAAATTTAAACAGCAATTGGCAACAATACATAATCTTGTTGAGATTCAGAAAGAATAGCCTAAAAGATAATAGATACTTAATTCTGCTGCCTCTAAAGCCGCCCAGCCCTGTGTCTCTACACAAGTAGCATCCCAAACGAAGGCTTTGCCTCTCTCCCAATGGATCAAAGTCAAGCCGTAAAGCACTCTTTCGGAAAATGTCACAGGTCTCTAAAATAGAAGGAACTTTGATGGAAACAACAGCTTTTCGGGTGACGACGTTGAGAGAACCGTGTCGGGAAAAGCGGCCTGCACAACAATGTTTTTGACAAACAAGGGGGTGGTTGGCGAATCGGTGCCCATAATGATTCCTACAGCAATGACGTCTGACGTTTTGACGTCAAGTAGTAAAAATCACGCTTTATTATCAAAGTACTTGATACTGCGGAAGCCGTTTTAGACGTCAGACGTAAGTAAAATCTAAATCACGCTTCTGCACCAAAGGAATATTCAAGTAGAAAATTTGCGTTGTCGGCATTGTGACTTAGAATATTGATCTAAAGCGTGAAGCGCTATGCCATACCTAGATTTTTGGTATCGTGGGTTCGATTCACACACGGGAAAAGTATTTGTGTGACCCACAGATAATTGTTCCGGATTGGGTGTTTATTTCCCAAAGAGGGTTCACGTCAGGCAAGCAAAAAAAAAACATGATTCACATGTTGTAAACAAGATGGTGATGATAATATTTACACTATGCACGGGAGAAAGGAAGGCAAGTAGAGCGACACTAGAAATTTTTCCTTACAATTACCGCCTGAATTGGTATTGTACCTTGAGACCAATTTAATTCATATTTAAATATTCATAGATAAATTTAGTATTTTTCTCGAAGCATTTTAACATGAAAATCAATTTCGTTCAAAGTCATCACATTTTTAATGTCGCAAAATAGTAAGTGCAATATACTAATTTTAGTAAGAACAATTTGTTAATATTGCCTAAAAATTTATTAAACTTCAATTTCAAAAGAGATTCCAAACTTGTGTGACCCCACGATTTGATTCCGGACAAATAGACGTTAGGCGGAGCTCCACCCTTTTGCTTTCAAGGTTCCACGTAAGAAAGTCGTGATTGCTTCATCTTTCATCATCCGTACAGCTAAGGAATGGAACAAAATGCCGGCGTCGGTCTTTTCATCCGATTATAACACAAGCGTCTTCAAGACCAGAGTAAATAGGCTTCTATTGAGCTATCGCGCTTGATGGTCTCAATGACTACATCGACCACTTACCATCAGGCAGTCAAGCGCTGGTCTGTTTCGAAAAAAAAAGAAAGCGTATTATGGTGGTTATCACTTAACATCAGATAAAATTAATACATCAAATAATAGAAATCTCACATAAAAAACCTAAGAGGTAAAACGTATCTGTACTGACTATATGATTAACTTTAACGAAAATAAATTTTTTTTCTGGAAAAAAAGTTTCACATTTGAGATTATTGAAGTCAGGGCCGATATTTTTGAATTGTCAGATAATTTCGATACTTCATCATACCATCGTCTAGTTCTACTAGTATAGTTTTGATTTCAATTTTTAAATAATTAGATGAATTCCCAAACTAAATATTATTGATCCTAGCGAATCTCACAAAGCTAACCGACATAGCTTAGAGCAGTGATTCTCAACCACTGTGCCGCGGCACTTTTGTGTGCCGTCAAATTTCAAAAGTGTGCCGCCAAATTTTGCAAATATATAATAATGATAATATTATTAAATTATATCATTTAATTTTTTTTAACATGAATATATATTTAAATCCACAAAAAAATAAATTATTTTATTATTATTTTGCAAAGCGTTTTTTCTTAGTGCCAAATTATGATGAAGCGGCGTGCATTGCAATAGGAATATGTCTCAAGTCGGCGCACACTTCCCACCTCTGCGTGCAAAACGTGTTGTTTTAGTGATAGTTGGGATTCACAAGGTGTTGCATAGTAGTTATTGCACCTTTTCTTTCCTTAAAATTGGCAAATGTATGTGATTCGGTTTAATATTAATTTATTTGCATGTAGTGTCAATTTATAAATTTGTAAACTTATTAACTTTGCAGTACACCTATCCCCCGATTTACACGGTACTTGTTTTACACGTTTTCGCTTTTACACGGTTTTCCAAATAAGTTTTTTTTTTGTTTTTTTATCGCACTCTACTAAATGCTACTGTGATTGAACACGTGCGCTGTGTACACATCTCACGGGGAATCCCGAGCTTATGTGCTGACTTGCTGCACAAGCACACTGTGTCTGTATTTCTTAGCGTATATATTAGTTTATAGCGTATATATTATTCGTAGTATATATTAGTTTATTTCGTATATTTAAATTTTTTGTCATAAACTATTTATGCAGTGTGTTGTAGTAAGTAAATAATTTTTATCTTTTTTTCTTTGTGTGCCGCCAAATTTTGAAATCGTTAAATATGTGCCGCAACAAAAAAAAGGTTGAGAATCACTGGCTTAGAGGGTTAGTACGCTGAAGTGGCGCTGGAGCAGAAAGGTTCTCGAGTGGCAGCTTCGAACTGGCCAATGCAGTGTGGGACAACACCCGACTAGGTGGAGTGTGCGGAAAGTCGATGGATGCAGGTGGCTCAGTATGGTGCTTCCGGCTTCGTGGCAGTCTGTGGGGGAGGCATATGTTCAACAGTGGACTCAAACAGATGTTGGCGGCTGAAATGATGATGATGATGATGAGATAGCGGATCTCCCCACTAAATGCCGACTAGAATCTATTTTCGTCATAAAATAAATTAGTCTTTTCATTGTGCCAAAAACATTTATAAATTTCCAGTATGGTTAACCTCATTCAGTAGAATCGTTCTATCAAAGGAGTCAAAAAAATGTTTATTAAAAAAAAGCAAAATTTTAAAGGTGTTTATTCGGAATTAAAAGAATTTTAAAATTACTACATTTGCACATTAAGATTCTTGAGCTGTACACACTGAGGATATATTTTTTCAATAGCAACAATTTTCCTCACTTTTTTTCTTTCATTTCCCTGATCGATCGACGACAACGGGCGGAGGCGTTGGTTCGGTGAATTGGTCGTGTTCACGTCATCTAATAGCCTCAAATGTCTGATTTTCACATCCCACATGCTTAGGGGACACCGAAGAAATAATCTCCGCACCAGAAGAAAAGTACGGCTGACGAAACACGTAAATATAAATTAGAAAGTGTGTGACTGAACGAAGCCGCGAGTGTCTTGTCCGTCCGGTTCAATCTGGATTTGAGCAGTTAGAACCGCGAGTGGCGAGTCCCTTTCCCTCGAATTAATTTACTGTTAAAGTTTAGTGGTGTTTTACAAACTATAACGTTTATTTATCCGATATTCGGAGTGTTTTGGTAGTGTATTAGTTAACTTCACAAAATGTCCGAAGAAACGTCAGCGGATCGCAATGTCGAAATATGGAAGATCAAGAAGCTCATCAAGAGTTTGGAAATGGCAAGAGGGTAAGTTGTGAATAAAATATTGCCTCCTGGTATAGATTGATGCTATGCATAACAACATGTCCAATGTATTTAGCTATATTTGTGGCTATTCGATTGTTCGAAATTGCCAACTCGGCTGCGTCAATACGCGACTGGAGACATGCGCGCCGTGCATGCGCAGAACTAACCTTGCAGACACGCGAAGAGTCAAGGAAATTGCTTTTTACTGTTATTAATATCTTGATCGATTGAGTTTCAACGAGATGTGCCGTCTCCACACCTTTAGGGCTGAGTCACGTAGGCGTTTCTTTTGTGTTCGAAAAAACCAATGCAGTGGAATTTTTATAACATCAGCTGATCTTTGTGATATTTCGAAATTACTGCGCCATTTTTTAAGTGACACCATTTGAATATCGAACGCACTCAATGCTCTTGCGCCCTACGCTTCCTGATTAACTCCAATCTTTCATGCATTTGTTTCGAAAAAAATTATCCAGAAAGTTGTTCCATTGTATGAACTGATATAGTGAAAAACAACACCATATTAGTTTTCATTTTAATTAAAATTTTAGGATATTTTCAGCATGCCTTGGGTCACTCTTTAGGTTTCTTGATTATATTACAATTAGCTTTCAAAAAAGATTGGGGGTTGTAAAAGAAAATAATTTATTCTATGCCAGTGTTACCACCTACTTCCAATTATGCTAAAATTTTGCATAAAACATTATTTTAGACTTTACCCAAAATACTTTTGTTAATAAGCATTGCTGATTCATACTGAGACAGAGAGGAAGAATGAATAAATGTGCTGAAGGTCATTTGATGTCTGTAACCTTTTGTCTTATATGGTGCCAAAAATTTATTAAAGAATGCTTTTTTGGGTAAATGGTCAACAAATTTTTATTCATATTGCAATTAAAAAAAATTAAACAAGAAAAATCACTACTGATTGAAAAATTATCTATTCGACAAGTTTGCACTACTGTGTATTTATGTTTATGAGTCAATTTAATAAAATGGCAGACTTTCCTATTGAAAATAACACATTTTAAATATTTTTTTTTTTCTCAAAAACTAAGCAACAGGAGAATTGTGCTTGATGATTAATTCATTAGTGATTTTTCCCTATCCTGTAAAATTTTCTTTAATTGCAATATCAACTCGGAGATTTACTGAACGTTTGCCATTTTTTGAAATAATACTTCTTTTGGCGCGTTAGGAAAAAATTATGAGAGTAATTTTTTTTACGATGCGTGTGCACACCGTCCCGAATAAGTGACATGATTAAGTTGGTTGCAACGCAAACTACAGTACCATTGTAAAGCAACCTACTTCATCATTACTTCACTGTACTACCATGGCAACCTTGTGACAATTTCCCAATAATTCAAGTTAAATATTGGATAAATAAGTATTTAATATTAAAAATTGCATAACTTAGTACATGCATACATAAGAACACACATTTTTTACCTGCTTAGCATCTATTTATTTCAATGTATTGTTAAATGTGTAAAATAGAGTGATTAATGCGAATGATGGATTATTTATAATTAAAAAAGTTAAATAAAATAGTCCTTTTAAAATACGGCTTGACTGACATAAAAAGGTAATCATTTTAAAATTGATTTTATCAAGTTTTGATTCAAATTTAAATCAGTTTTTTTTATGCGAAAAGTTGTCAAACGAGCAGATGGTTCACCTGATGTTAAGTGAATACCGCCGCCCATGTACATCTGCCCCACTCGAGGGTTACAGATGCATTGGCAACCTTTTGAAAATTGGGCTCCGGCTACCTCACTAACCAAACGAAACGCGAAAATATTTGTCATACTGCCACTATACGCTGATCTTCTGTGAGGTTGTGGTACTTACCCGGACGGGGCTGCCCATTCGTGCAACAGCCGAGGCTGTTGCGTGGCCCTACTAACTTATCATTACTTACTAATCCTTAAGTGCTTTCTCACAATAACTAAATTTTAATATGTACAATTTGCAGCAATGGAACATCAATGATATCGCTGATCATACCACCCAAGGATCAGATCTCGCGAGTATCAAAAATGCTGGCGGACGAATTTGGTACGGCATCCAATATCAAATCCCGAGTTAACAGGTTGTCTGTACTTGGAGCCATAACGTCAGTACAACATCGTCTCAAACTCTACACTAAAGGTTAGTCTTAGTTGTCTATTGTCAATGTGATTTTTATTTTAAGTCTGCATGTTGTGTTCGCTCACAGAAGAACATTCACTTGTGTGTTAAGTTCCGTATCAACTTTATCTGTGTCCATTATTCTGTAATGTGAGTGTAATGTTCAGTTTGCGATCCTAATTAAATAAAAAAAAAAGTAAACCTATGGTCTGAATTTCGTAAACTGGATGTAACATGTTGAAGATATTAACTCTGCTCTTATTTAATCAAAAAGTTTTTGCTAATTCCTATAATTGTCCATTAGCTTAAATTTGAGGTTAATAGGGTTTGTTTCCTATATGGTAAACATATTTGTGCAGTCTATGTATTCAGAGGCGGATTAAACGTTGAGAGCGCTGTAGGCAAGCATCTGATCGGCGCCCCTATATTAAACCTGTAAGGTACGAGTAGCATGTAAACCCCAAAATCATGAAATTCCCTATATAATAACTTCTGGCTTTACACGCCAGGCGAACTCTTTAGTGTAAATACCAAGTTTTAAATATTTTTTTCTCGAAAACTATAAGCGACCAGGGAATTCTGCTTGTTGATTATTTCATAAGTGTTTTTTGTCTACCGAACAAAATTTTTTGTTAGGTCGAAAAACACCCGGCGCTAATAGGAAAAAATACCATATCTTGATTAAACCATTCAGTGCAATAATTATATTCTTGCGTTTCGTTGCTGATATCCCAATGGACTGGGTCACAATCACAAACACTTTATTTTGCGATTGCTTCACAACTTCTACTACTGACGGAGTAGGCGGCGTAGGCTCGGACAAATTTTGTGGTTGTTTATAGCTAGTAGGAACTTCGTATTGCATAGTGTCGACAGTAGGCGCAATTTGGATTGCCTTAGAATATTCATAATCATCACTTTTTAATTTTGAAAAAAAAACATCTTTTTTTTCTCTTATGCGAAAAGTTGTCAAACGAGCAGACGGTTCACCTGATGTTAAGTGAATACCGCCGCCCATGGACATCTGCCACACCCGAGGGTTACAGATGCGTTGACAACCTTTTGAAAATTGGGCTCCGGCTACCTCACTCACCAGACGAAACGCGAAAGTATTTGTCATACTTCCACTTTACGATGGTCTTCTGTGAGGTCGTGGTACTTATCCGGACGGGCCTGCCCATTCGTGCAACAGCCGAGGCTTCTGCGTGGCCCTACCACCGTAAACATCTTAATATTTTTCGTTTGATTTATTACATTATAATGTTTTTCTCCTTAGCCTTCCTACATATTCTGCGATAGTAGGTTTTTTCTTAGTTTACTCATTCTTTAAGTAATAAAAAAAAAACTAAATGGGCTAATTAAATACACATCACCGAAGCGAGAACGTAAACAATAAAAGCGCCAGAATCGAACCGAACTCGACTTCGACGCCTTCAGCTACAAGTCAAAGATCGCGTACCGGAACAACGCCAAACCACGTGGGACGCTCAACTAGATGACATCGAACCATCGCACACCGCCTACTGGTAGTTGGCCCGTAGTTTGAAAGCAGAGCCCCACGAATCCCTACTGCCATTAGTAATACCTACCTATTCTGATTAAAACCTAATAGCGCTACACTAGCCCTAGATGACTCTGAAAAAGCCGAATGCCTTGTGGACAACCTAGAACAGCAATGTACGCAATCGGGCGAATACCTGTCCTGTCCCGACCGATTATACCACTTAACGGCATATATTCTGAAAGGCCTCAATCACCCCAAACACGGCACGCGAGCACGGGAGTTCTTTTCTTCGATGTCACAAAAGCATTCGACAAGGTCTGGCACAACGGCTTGCTTTACAAGCTGTTCCCATTCAACGTGCTAGACAGACTCGTGCACACCATCCGGGCCCTTCCTGTTTAATCGCTCTTCCGATATCGAGCAGAAGGCACCCTTTCTACGAACCGCCCTTTCACGGCGGGCGTTCCTCAAGGCTCCTACCTCTCCCCTTTGCTTTTTACGCTCTACACGAGCGACATAAAAGACCCACACATCAATTTCGCGCTTTTCGCGGATGACATGGCGCTCTTTTGGACAGATAAAAATCTTAACTTTAAACTTACAAAATAAGTTCATCCAACCGCGTAACCGGGGCGCAGTGGTATCAACGCAACGTCGACCTGCACGGTGACTGCAGACTCCAGACGATTCGCGTACATTTTAAAGATCTCACTACGGTTCTTCGACAGAGTCGAACATCATCCCAACCCTCTGGTGGTAAGCGCAGCAAATTACCGACCCGACACTAACGAGAACGTCAATAAGCGTCGCCCGCGCAACGTCCTCATCGACCCGGTTAAGGAAGGGTACTCGTACGTCGGACCCACCGACAGGGTCCCGCCAAATAACACTACACACGCAGTTAGTGCATAAACAAACACCATAGTTTGTCCTCGCCTTCGAGCACGGCGAAACCAACACAACGCGTACACTCTGTACGATTCCGATACTCACGAGTCGTGATCGACGCGACGTGCATTGTAGTCGTATCTTTCCTACTTCAATTAGAGAACATGTACCGTCGACAAGATTGTTTGTAAGCGCAAGTTTTAGTCAGTCCCGTCCGTTAAGTTTATCTTTTGTTATAAATTGAGGTTCTAAGCAAAAATAATAGTTTTTATTATGTAAGTAGTTGGCTTAATTACTGGCGCAATAAATTTTATGCTATATCATATATTTTTCTTTATTTTACAATACCGCCCGCGCGCCCCTTTGGATCCTCGCGCCCATAGGCACATGCCTAGTTTGCCTTAAGGATAATCCGCCTCTGGATGTATTACTTATTCCTAGTAAGGCTGACACAATAAGAATGTTTTTAAAGATCATTCGAAAGAAAAATTATCAACGACAGAACACTTTGGTAGAAAATAATGGTAGAATGTTAAAACTTTATTGTAAGAAACGTTAATGTAAGAAATGTGCTCTTATTAAAATATGTAGAAAAAGTACGAAAAGATTGTCGCCGCTGTGGGAATCGAACCCACGTCTTCGGCATTCGCGGCCTGACGCTTTAGCCACTAAGCTCAACGGCTGATTGCCACACCCGACGAAAATCTTAACGTCTTTTATCTACATTGTTATTTTAGCATTTGAAGCAATGCTTAGCGCATCTATTGTTATATCCTTTCCAGCATATAAAAAATTTCGAATATCATTTCACAACGATAACTTCGAACGAGAGATGTCGCCATTGCTTTTTAGAAATTTTAAGTTTTTTATAGTGCTAATTTCTGCACTTGAGATTAAACATTAAAACTTTAGAAAATTGCTTCAAATGCTAAAATAACAAACTTTAAAAATGGTAGAATGTGTAAGTTCAAATTCAAAGATGGAATATAAGATAAAAGAGATGGATGGATGGACTGGATGAATATAGTAAAGAAAGACTATACAGCGTGTCGTTACCATCGCGACAATAAATGAACACACGTCTAACGCTACTTGCCAATAATAATAAAAAAATATTTACGTTAAACAAAATCCATAATAAAAAAAAATATTTTTCAAACAAACTAAGTAAAAAAGAAACAAAATTTGTATCATCCTCATCCTCAACAGTATGTTTTGTCTCTTTTAAATTCATTCAACCCATTCATATGCTTTGTGACCTTTACAAATGAACTTTACGTTACGCTTTTATAGGTAAGGGTGTTCTAAAATTCTTTGTTTTGGAAAATTTAATAACTCTGTAAATATTAATGTTTAAAGATTTTAAATTTTTAATACCACTTTAAAAAGATATACCCTATATGTGTGTTCATTTATTGTCGCGATGGTAAAGACACGCTGTATAACAATTTATGAACCATCTTGTTTGTAGTTCCGCCTAATGGTTTGGTGATTTACTGCGGTACCATCGTCACTGAGGAGGGTAAAGAGAAGAAAGTGAACATTGATTTTGAACCCTTCAAACCAATCAATACCTCACTTTATCTATGCGACAACAAATTCCACACTGAGGCCCTCACAGCCCTTTTGGCCGATGATAACAAGTTCGGATTCATCGTGATGGATGGTAACGGAGCACTGTTCGGTACCCTGCAGGGAAACACTAGGGAGGTAAATTCAACATCAATATATTATACCATTTGTATTGGTAATTTCACAATTGTAGTTTTTATTTATTTGTATTCATTTTATTAAAAAAAAATGAGGTCACAAGTACCAGATTCAGATTTAAAATCAAATTCTGCATATGCTCTGTTAATTAGTTCGTCGTCTATATAATCACCCTGTATAAACCATGCCTGTGTCACTCAAGAATCAAACAATATGTTCATTGCTTTATGCAAATTCTAATTTTCCAGGAGCCAGGATCGAACCCACACCCTCTAACGCAATACCCAGGTGCACTAGGCCAATAGACCGATTGGCCAATTTGATGATTTGACGGTGTCTCTCTTACAATAAATGGTTGAACTTTCATGCTTGGCCGCACAGGTGCTCCACAAGTTCACCGTGGACCTGCCCAAGAAGCACGGCAGGGGTGGTCAATCGGCGCTCCGCTTCGCCCGCCTGAGGATGGAGAAGCGGCACAACTACGTGCGCAAGGTGGCCGAGGTGGCCACGCAGCTGTTTATCAGCGCGGACAGGCCGAACGTGGCAGGGCTGATCCTGGCCGGCTCGGCCGACTTCAAGACTGAGCTGTCCCAGTCGGATATGTTCGACCCAGTCAGTAATGCTTGTACTTATTCGTTCACTCGACCGCTTCGAATGTTGGTGAGGCATGTCCTCCTTAAATCTGTATTTTTGGGTTCCGCGCCCAAAGAGTAAAACGGGATTCTATTACTAAGACTCTGTTTGACCCTGCTAGTATTGGTATTTATTTGCTTTAATATTAACTTAACCGCTTCGAATGTTGGTAAGGCATGTCCTTAAATCTGTATTTTTGGGTTCCGAGCCCAAAGGGTAAAACGGGACCCTATTACTAAGACTCCATTCGACCCTGTTAGTACTGGTATTTATTTTCTTTAATTTTAACTTAACCTCTTCGAATGTTGGTGAGGACATGTTAAAACTGTATTTTTAGGGTTCCGTACCCATAGAGTAAAGCGGGACACTATTACTAATTACTTAGACTCTGCTGTTATTAATTACTATTGTCTGTCGGTCGGTACGTCCGTCTCTTACCAGGCTGTATCTCATAAACAGTGATAGTTAGACAGTTGAAATTTTCCGCCGCTATTACAACAAATACTACAAAACCATAAAAATGGTACGTAACTCTTCATTCGCGAGTCCGATTCCCACTTGGCCGCGTTTTTTTAACCTAAGTAAGCGTGAATATTAGATTAGAAATGGTAGTAAAGGGAGAGTTAACACTCAATTACACACATATTTTCCCTGCATTCAAACAGGATGTAACGACGGTGATTTTGACTTTCAATCTTCTAGCGTCTCCAATCCAAAATCATCAAGCTGGTGGACGTGTCCTACGGTGGGGAGAACGGCTTCAATCAGGCCATAGACCTCGCAGCGGAATCATTGCAGAATGTCAAGTTCATACAGGAGAAGAAGCTGATTGGCCGCTACTTTGATGAGATATCGCAGGTAGGTACTTTTCAAGCGTCCATTATATGGAGCGCCTAAAGCTCATTTTTAACTGAAGTAAAAATTTAACGAATTTTTTCTACAAATTTTAATGTTTGATCTTAAATGGTAATGATTTTGTTTTTATATTTTTTTATATTCTACATGACTATAAAATAAATGATAATGATTATATATCGTATCTAGGACACCGGTAAATACTGTTTCGGTGTGGACGACACCTTGCGCGCCTTGGAACTCGGCTCTGTCGAGACCCTTATCTGCTGGGAGAACCTTGACATTCAGAGGTAAGCGATTATTTTAGTAACACTAAGTTAATGCTAACTCCTTAAGTTAGAAACATGGCGCAGCTGCCAAGGTATTGGCTTCGGCGACAACTATTTGTGTGACCCACAGTAGTTGTTCGCAATGTTTGAAATTTGTTTGCAAAACGCCCTTATAACACAGGATTATGTTATCCTAAAGTAAGGGTAATGTTTTTTTTTTGAATAATATAAATATATGAATAGGCAATTCGCTTGCTATTGCATTTTAAATTGATTATCATTGTATTCCAGATATGTGCTAAAATCCCACTCCGCCAACCAAGAGACCATCCTCCATCTGACTCCTGAACAGGAAAAGGACAAATCGCATTTCACCGATAAAGAGGTTAGTTCCATCACACCCTTTACCGAAACTCTTTTCGCGCCATCTAGCTGCTTCCAGCTGATTTAGTGGGCGAGCACAACTAACTGCACCATGGTGTCACTGCGCAATTTTCTAAATAAATGACTACATGTTATAATATTTGTACACATGTACAAAATGTCCAGAAAGATATGTTTAAGTATAACATAAATGTACAGAAAGTACACATGTACAGAAATCACGACATACTAAAGCAAATGCAGTATCATGATGCATGCCAATAATTTCACCATATTAAACTTTGGCTGCCATATTCATTCATTGCTAGTCACTTTGTGTTCTCGGTCAATAAGGAGTAATAATTATGTTAAACAATTATGTCAATGAAGCTATGTATGTTGATTTTGTATGTTACGGTTAGGGGAAATTTTACTTTTCCAAAGTATGTTTATGTTTTGATATGTATGGTGTGGGTATGTAATATAATGTATATGTATGTTGCAATCACATGATATTTACATTGTCTGTTCTAAAGGCAATATTGGTCATTACAGAGCGGCCTCGAGCTTGAGCTGGTTGAGTGTCAGCCGTTGCTTGAGTGGCTCGCGAACAACTACAAGTCTTTTGGTGCAACTCTCGAGATCATAACGGACAAGAGCCAGGAGGGCAGCCAGTTTGTGAGGGGATTCGGTGGCATTGGCGGTCAGTATGCACTTTGTTTAAATTCATGCAGAACAAACGGTACATGTGACATTTCAGCTTCCTAAAATCTAACAATTTATCCTATTAATTTGGCACTGGTGTTTGTTTGATCACATTTTAATGTGTATTTTATTGTATTATATATTCTGTTCTAAAGTATACTGAAACTATATGTTGATGGGTTTTCCTGTCATCATAGAAATATAAGTAATGTATAATAATTATATTATAGTATTATTAGCAGCTTCTTTCGATTTAGTTTTCTCCCTATTTAAAGCTTTCTAAATTACTGATTTTGTTAGTCAGTTTACAGGTAAAGCTCATTAAATATAGACTTGTCAATATTACTTTTTAAGGCAAAATCAGTTTCATCCATTGCCCCATTCCAAGTACCTGTTATCATAATGAAAGCTTACATTAAATGAATCATTGTTAAGGTTCTGTACCCAAAGGCTAAAACCTATTACTAAGACTGCTGTTTGTCTGTCTGTCTGTCTGTCTGTCTGTCACCAGGCTGAATCCCGTGATATTACGACAGTTGAAATTTTCACAGATGATATATTTCTGTTGCCGCTACAACAAATAATAAAAAAAAAAAAATAAAAAATATTAAAGTGGGGCTCTTATACAACAGACATAATTTTTTTGCCGTTTATATAGATAATGGTACGGAACACTTAGTGCGCAAGTCTTATTCGCACTTTACTGTTTTTTTTTAAAACAACTAACCATATTGTCTATAGTTTGCTTTTAGCAGTTTGAGTTTTACCTTACATCTGATTATTATTTATTTTGGACCCTAACAAAAAGTTAGGATAGGTTAGAGGCCACTCCGATTTGAAAATTTGTGGAGAAAACTAAGTTGGTGATATTAATACCTTAAATAAGTGATGGTGTGGTGATGGGTCGTGGGCGTTTTGTTTCTATGTTGAACTAGTTTAAAAAAAATAGCATTAAAAAGCCGTTTCGTTTTTTAATGTTGTTTTTAATCAACCAGTTTACAAGTGCACTGTAAACAGAACGTGGACGTCGAAGAAGCAGTTTACGAAAACGTTCCGTTCATTAACGCCCACCACATGCTTTGACTAATGCTATAAATTGTACTAATATATTTTCTTTGTCTCTTACCGCTGCTTGGACGGTTATCGCGCATCGCCTCGTTGCTACGATCGCTACGACGTCGCTACGGCTGACGATTTAAAAAAAAAATAGGCATACTGAGATACAAAGTGGACTTCCAATCCTCGCAATTCGAAGAACAGCTGGATGACGTAGACCTCGACGAATATTAAAAATAGAAAAACCCACCGCGCCTAGTGCGTTGGTGGGCAAAAAGACAAAAAAAATAATAATAAAATAATGAAATGAAAAAAAAAAAGAAAAAATAATGAAATGAAAAAAAAAATAAGTAGAAAGCATGTTACACTTCTTGTAGCTATTTCGGTGGGTGCGGCCCAAACGAGCGGTCGGAACGCGGCGTTATTTTTATCGTCATGATATAGGCTAGAGTTGGAATTGGCGTCAGCATAATTCACAGCCTATTTAGCGACAATAGAAAATTTTCATTTGGTTCCCTAGAGCACTGACTATGTCTGAGGTGAAGGTCTCAAAATAACGATAAATATTCGAAGGCACACTAAAAAGCCACGTCTGTTGGTCAAGTCGAATGAATGCATTGTATTGTCTTTTTGTTTTTACTGCCGTCTCTTAAAAATCGCTTCATCACGAGATTGGAACAATTGCGACCAATTCTCAATTCGTTCATATGATTTTTTTTTAATTTTGTGAAATAATTCAATTATTTACTGTCTGCAATGAATCAACAAGGCTCGGCTCATGTGCGTATTGGTCCGACGCAACTATTCGAAGCGTTTACAACCGCCGCGTTCCGACCGCCCGTTCGACGCGTTCCTCTTAGAGTAGAGTCGTACTAGTCTTACCGTCTTACAAGTACGGGTGCGTGTAAATACGCGTTCAAAAGACTAGCTCCACGACTATTTAGAAGTAGGCGGTCTTGTCACCAAAGTACTATAGGTACTTCCCCAACCTAGTTTCTACATAGATTCATGTATTCTCTTAACTTAAATGAATACATTTTCACAACATTTAATCTTATCTAAATTACACATTAACCAATACTAGGTGTGTAGGGCTTAAACATAGTTCTAAATAATTAAAAAAAAAAAAAAAAAAAAAAGAAAAAAAAAAAAAAAAAAATCATGTTTAAAATATATTCGTGTTTGTATAACTTTAGACCCATTTATTATGTGAAACTTCTTTATGCGCCATAATAAAGGTTATCTCGTAGCATACAGTTTATTTATTGGTCGTAGCATACAGTTTATTTATTGGTATGGAACATAAGTCGGAATACTCGACCTAACTTAGTTCACCACTTTTTGCAAAATATGATAAAACCTATGTAGTACCTATATACTCGTAACACTAACACCTTTATCATTTTTAGATTAACATACAAAATGTATATTGATTAGTTCATCATAGTGTTTATTGCCTAAACTAGCACAACCACCAGTCATGAAAAGTTATTCTTTATAATGTTTTAATCTATAAATACTAATTACAAATATAATTAATATAACAATATCAGTTTAAAACATAACACACAAGTTTAAAACAACAACGACAACAATAACAACAACAATAAAACTACAACAATTACAACTACAACAATAACAAGTTTAAAACATACAAAAATATGAAATACCTTTGCAATCGAAACTTTTGCACCCACTTCGCCAGCATTTCAACATTTATTAATTTATTATCATTAAAAGAAGTATATGTATACTTATGTGCGCACGTAAGAAGTTATACTTCTTTGGCGTAACAAATAAAAAATAACTAAAAAAAAAATTTACCCTGTGAAAGTAAAATTTTGCTCAATTCCATAGATAATAAAAAAAGTAAAGTAACAGCCTATACATGTCCCACTATTGGGCAAAGGCATCCTCTATACAGAGGGTATCAGGGCATAGTCCACCACGCGGCCCCACTGCGGATTGGCGGACTTCACATATATTCGAAATATTTTTTTTTGTTATTATTTCGAAAATATGCAGGTTCCTCACGATGTTTTCCTTCACCGCGGAGCACGTGATAAGTCAGCACTTAAAGTTAAAAACTTCATTGGTGCCAGCACCGGGGATCGAACTCAGGTTGCTCGAGTATATTGAACTAAAGGCGAGCGCCCGGACACTGAGCTATCACGGCTCTCCATTCAATATCCATTGATAACGGTTTAATTTAATAAGTGGTGTGTGAACTTGGTCTTTTTGCAACCAACATCTTTATGTCCTTTTTTATCCGTCGGTGTGCGCGCGCATCGTTAAAAATTTCATATTCGTGTGGGAACATTTCTTGAGATAGAAAGAAGGTACTCTTCAATTGAAATTTGACCGTATTCTGATGGAAATATGAAAAATAAGGAAGGAATCTAATTTATGTGTAATAACAAAAATCTTTCTCAGTTTTGGTTACATCTGTGGTCTCGTGTACTTTTAAATAATTGTCTAATAGTGAAAAATGTCATTTTCTTTTCACATGCAAATATGATTATGGAGAGAGGTAATTCATGTCTTCATTAATGATTATTACTTTTAATTTTTCTTTGAGTTGTATTTTGGCCTATTTTTTTTTTCTTGAGTTATAACATTAGCTCTCAAATAGATAGGTTATTTTATGTCTTTGATTATTTGCACTTTTAACATTTATTATTTCTGTGATTTAACTGTTTTATTGATGGGATCTCTTCATTACCAGTTTATTGTACTAAAAAATCATACATATAAATATAGATTTTCAGTAAGGCAATATTCGGTTTCAATATAAAAAACACTAAAACAATTATTTCAAAAAGATTAAGTTCCCAAATACGACAGCAAGACAAAAATATTTCTGTCTAGCTACAAGCAAATAAAGAAATTTGAATTTGAAACTTTTACAGTATTTGTAGAATTTCACTTTTTTACTAGTAGTCTGTAGTGTGAAATTCTGTTAAGTCAAAGAGTATTAATAGTTGAAAATTCCAGCAATTTCAGAATTCATTCAGAGATTACACTTGCTTATTTGCATGTAATATGTGTGACACTTTTTTTTTTTGTGACAGTTGAGTTGTTTTATTGTGTTGTTTATATATATAGTTCATTATAGGGAAATTATTTCAAAAAGTAAAGTAACATCCTATACATGTCCCACTGCTGGGCAAAGGCCTCCTCTATACAGAGGGTATCAGGGTATAGTCCACCACACGACCCCACTGCAGATTGGCAGACTTCACATATCTTCGAAATATATATTTTTTGTAATTATTTTGAAAATATGCAGGTTTCCTCACGATGTTTTCCTTCACCGCGGGGCACGTGATAAGTCAGCACTTAAAGTTAAAAACTTCATTGGTGCCGGCACCGGGGATCGAACTCGGGTTAACTCGGGTTGCTCGAGTATATTGAAATAAAGGCGAGCGCCCCGATGAGCTATCACGGCTCTTAATTATTTTATGTATACCATAAATTATATATTCATGAAATACATTTAGATGTAGGTGTAAATAAATTTTAGATGAAACATAGATTAGCGTCATTAATCCACGAAAGTATATAATGTTTCTTTTTTATTAGAAATCATCTTCAAATAAAAATTCATAAAAATCTATTATTAATCTACAAAAAAATTACAATTTAAGATCTCTATTATTTTTCTGAAATCTTTTACATAAAATTTATATATTGTAATATTGCTGTGAAAATATATCTACCAAATAACAACACCTCGTTTAAATTATATGTTTTAACCTTGCTCCACTAATATATATACCACTTAATAGCGAAAGGAATTTAGAATATATTTGTAGTATCCAAAATGGGTAAACAATCTAGTTGATCAGTGTTTTTTTGTATTTACAGGTCTCCTTCGCTACAAGGTTGACTTCCAGTCTATGCAGCTCGAGGATGAGGAGATTGAAAACCTCTACGACGTCGACGACTACTAGGAGCAAACTGAATACCATAGATGTGCCTTACGCAACGCAACAGCGACCATTTCTTGCGAACGGATTTGTGCCGGACAAAGAATGACTGGCTCTGTTTAGTGTTATACGGTGAATTTGCTCATATAGGATTTCTTCCCTAATTGGAAGGAAACTGTTTCAATGTTGGATATGTTTAATCATTCGCACCAGCCGCCTGAAGTCATGGACATTGGTGTGTGTGGGTGAATTTTGTATTATACTAAGACTTTTGCCCAACTAAATTAGGCTACTTTAGACAGAGGACACCAATAAATAATTAATTTATATCACCAATTAAATTTAGAAGCGAATTGTGAACGAAATTAAATTTTGCAAATTTGCATTTTAGTTCATAGCCGCGAGCTAAAATTGCTGTTTGGTGTGGGTTTGTCGATTATTTTATATGTAGAAAAATTATGGTGAAATGTGAAGTTAGCTTGACATGTGTCCTATTTTGTTATGGTTTGAGGGCCAGTGGAACTTGTGAATTGTTCCGGATTTAGAACACCTCCGGCTTATTTTGTATACTCAACTCGCTGTTGCGTTGCGGGCTATTCTCGATTGTTGGGTTTTCTGTTATATATCGTGTTTTGTCTGCTCGTGGATAACCTTGTGTAACTGTTTAGCTAAATTTTAACCCAAATGTTAATAAAATGGTTTTAATGTAACACATGCCATGTAATACTATTTATCTTATGTCAATGGTTATGTTTTTGGACCGCGTGAGGTCAGCATTACTTTCCTATTTCATGAAAGTAATGCTGAAGATTTTATCTTCCCACAAAACATAAGGCAACTGGTCTATAGATATTATTTGGTGACGTTTAATTGATGGTCAGATGTCTTTATGTTGTTAGATTGAATCAAACATGTGGAAGTTCTTAGGCTAATTAATTTATATCACCAATTAAATTTAGAAGCGAATTGTGAACGAAATTAAATTTTGCAAATTTGCATTTTAGTTCATAGCCGCAAGCTAAAATTGCTGTTTGGTGTGGGTTTGTCGATTATTTTATATGTATAAAAATTATGGTGAAATGTGAAGTTAGCTTGACATGTGTCCTATTTTGTTATGGTTTGAGGGCCAGTGGAACTTGTGAATTGTTCCGGATTTAGAACACCTCCGGCTTATTTTGTATACTCAACTCGCTGTTGCGTTGCGGGCTACTCTCGATTGTTGGGTTTTCTGTTATATATCGTGTTTTGTCTGCTCGTGGATAACCTTGTGTAACTGTTTAGCTAAATTTTAACCCAAATGTTAATAAAATGGTTTTAATGTAACACATGCCATGTAATACTATTTATCGTATGTCAATGGTTATGTTTTGGACCGCGTGAGGTCAGCATTACTTTCCTATTTCATGAAAGTAATGCTGAAGATTTTATCTTCCCACAAAACATAAGGCAACTGGTCTATAGATATTATTTGGTGACGTTTAATTGATGGTCAGATGTCTTTATGTTGTTAGATTGAATCAAACATGTGGAAGTTCTTAGGCGTTAACGGTATCGATGTTTATATCTGTTCGTCTGAAGCCAGTATTTATTTAAATAAGACATTCCCCTTAATTGGCGCTAGATGGCGTTGTTTTTAATCTACAAACTACGAATTGTCTTGAATTGTTCTGAATGGTTAATTAATTAACTAATCTGGACATCGTATGTCCAAAACACGATATGTAACTAATTGCTGTATCATTGCATCCGCATTCGCTGCTACAGGGATGAGCTTGGCAATGTTTAACTTTGAATTGTACGTTCAGAACTGATTTTTTACTTTGCGGCTGTGGTTTCCACATATCGTGGCCCGCACTTGAAGGGATATTCGCAATAATATCATATTATGTATCGAGTATTTAGCCAATGTTGGATATTTTTAAACGCAACCGATGTATTTTTTTTTTTAATTTTCCTCACCTCCCCGATCACTTTCTTTGTACAATACAAATAAATTGTCTGGTTATCGCGTTTTCTGTTTTACTTATTGACAATTTTTATCACCGAGATTACAGCAGACACTAAATTCAGGCAGTTATCATCTTAGCATTACATTGACTGGAAAAGATGCAACAACACACACACTGCAAATGCGTGGAAATTAAAAAAAAACCCTATATTTGATCATAAACTTATTTGAGGTTGTTTAATGGCCAATGCTTGGTCAACCCGAAATTAAATATTTTTAACGTTGCCTGTCGCTCTTGAATCAGCAGATCTATCCTGAGAAGTCCTGCAACCTCTCAAAAGACGTACGTGATGTGAACGTGTTATAAAATGGACAGATTTTTTTTAGGACATTTTAAGACAACATTGTCTAGTCACATACTAAGCAACGCTTGTACTATCAGTACCTACTAAATCACGGGTGAGCAACCTTTTTAATCAATGGGCCAATTTAAATTTCAAATTTTTTGGCGGGCCGCACGTAATAATTTACGAAACTTTATTTGTAACAAATATTAGAATAAAAAATATAAAATTAAAAAAGTAAAGATTTCATATACAAATTTTAATGCAAGTTAAAAACAAACAAGAAAAGAACAGAAAAACGAACAAAAAATATTTCGGTTCAGTATGTACTACCATTTTATTATAATTAATTTTATAACAATATATTGATGGGAGAAATTCGATGATATAAATTAAATTTTAGAAATGCTTGGCGGACCGCATAAACATGTTTAAGGGGCCGCAAGCGGCCCGCGGGCCGCGCGTTGCTCATCCTTGTACTAGATAAATAAACATTTCTTTTTTTTTTAATTTGCTGTCACCTTCAGAGAGCGCTGTGTCATCATAACTGTCGTGGTCATCCTGAGATAACTGTTCCGACCGGAGCTATCGATATACAACGAACTTATCGACCATCTAAATATCCAAGGTATCATTCTTGGTGTAGGAATAGCATTACTTCAGCAGTCGTAGTAGGAAAGGTCAGTGAAGCTGCCGGGAGAGCGACGGTTTAACTTTCCGCCCGACCTACGGCTATTAATCGGCCAAAAAATGCATTTAAACGGGCATTCGACCGATAGCGATCAGAATCGAACCGCACTCGACTTCGAAACCTACAGCTAGAAGTCAAAGATCGCGTATCGGAACATCGCCAATCCGGGTGAGACTAGAACTAACTACTAGAAGACATCGAGCCATCGCACACCGCCTACTGGAGGTTGGCCCGCGGTTTTAAAGCAGAGCCACGCGAATCCCTACCGCCATTAGTAATGCCTAATAGCGCTTCAATAGCCCTAGATGACTCCGAATGCCTAGCGGACAACCTAGAGCATTAATGTACGCCATCACGCGAACACGTCGATACAGCCCACCTATTTTTTTGTTGAGGTGGGGGAAATGCCTACGCATACCCGCCCTTGCATGGCAAGAGCGGGTTATGTCGGACTCGCACCGGCTAAAATCCCCACGATGTTACACCTATGCGAATATCGGCAGGGTCACGGGAACGCTTTCGCACACTTCCGCGACCCTGCCAGCGCTGGCCACCTCAGCAGCCCCCTCCCGGGGATCAACTCCCCTCCGCCAGGTAAGGGGCGCTGGAACATTCAGCCTTCCTACTCGGCCCCTTTTACCCGGCCAACGAATTTCCCCCGCGTTCGCTGACCAGAGGCCATGGGAGGCAGGAGAGACAGTGCCAATAAGCAGCAAGTCTCCCAGCCCCCAGAGGCGGACCTGTGGCTCCGCCGCTCACCAAGTTTCGACCGCGGAGGTTAGGGAGAACGGCGCACCGCAATACCGACACGTCTCCCCCCGCGGCCCGCCACCATTGCATCAGCAGTGCAGCCCTGCCGAGTCGCGGAGGATAGGGAACACGGAATACCGACACTCCCCGCGACTCCTCCTCGGTAGCAGAAGACAGGGAGAGTGGCTCCACCACTACCACCCTCGACCTGTCCCCTGCACCCTCCAGCACGCATCCAGAGTGGGCTCAGTGAGCCTTCTCGGGCCGGCCTAACACCACAGGCCGGTCCAGGGTGGGTTCCTCTTAGCTTCGCCGTGGGTGACCAAACCACGGCTACTAAGCTTTTGCACCTTAAATAACATTTGAAAAGCCATTTGAAAGCTGATTAGTTAACTTGATGTTAACGATGATCAGTGTTTCAGAAACCGGGCGTCACATGGGATAACCGCCTGCACGTTTGACAATTTTTCACAAAAAATAAATAAAGGGAAAGCTTGTTACGCATAGCTTTATTGTGGTAGGGCCACGCAACAGTCTTCGCCGTCGCACGAATGGGCAAGCCCATCCGGGTAAGTACCACGACCTCACTGAAGACCGGTGTGATGTTGGAGTGTCATACTTCTGCGGTTCGTCTGGTGAGTGAGGTGGCCGAGGCCCAATTCATTAAAAGGTGGCAACGCATCTGCAAACCTACGGGTGTTGCAACTGTCAATGGGCGGCGGTTATCACTTAGCATCACGTGAACCGCCAGCTCGTTTGCCACCATCTCATATAAAAAGGTAAACATACTAAGTAATAGCTCAGTGACGGGCAATTTGATGCAATATAACCTACTTGAGCGAACCGAGTTCAAATCGCGCTGCCGGCCAATGACGTCATTACACGTATTAAGCGGTGGATGAAAACGTGAAGAAACCTGCATATTCTCCAAATATCAACAAAAAATATTTCTAAGATATGTAAAGTCCTTCAATCCGCAGTGGGGTGAATAGTGGACTATGCCTTATTACCCTCTGTCTAGAGAAGGCCTTTGCTCAGTTGGGACATATGTAGGTGTTAGTTTTCTTTTATTTTTACTTACTTTTTTTAGATATAGACACCCAGACTATACTGTGTTCATCGCACAATAGTCCAGGGGCCGTCAAAAATATCAGTGCGATCGCAGATTCAGCTGAACTGCCTCTTGAGGTTTTGACGCTTGCAAAACTATTGAGTGCGGTTTAATTGAACTAGTGGTCAACTGATCACCCAGTGGTCGAACATCGACAATAATTAATTAATAATACTA